TTCTCGACTCTCCGGGTCAAAAACGAGTATTGCCTATAGCACCTTGTCAAAGTCCGGAATCACAGAGTAAGTTATTATTGTTATGCAAGAACACTGGTTTTTATTTTCATTTTTGCATGCTGTCCATGGCCCTTTGTAGAATAGGATCTGAACTGACATTTATGTGTACATGTATTTTCAGGGTCTTCTATGTCATCAATAGATAGCCCAAAAATTTGCTCCAGAAAGTCGAGAAGAAAGGTGGTAACATCACCTAAAAACATACTCGACATGCCAAAAATTCGAAATGACTTCTGTAAGTAGGAATTCTTTCCGATCTGTTCCGAAACCATATGGATAATGAAATTTCTTTCTTTTGGCAGTTCATATTTTTTTTCTGATCATAAACTTTTTAAAGTAACTGATATATCATCTTACAATTTTATGTTTATTTTCTTTTAGACACAAATGTCCTTGATTGGGGGCATTCCAACAAGATTGTGGTTGCCTTGGAACAAACAACATATATCTGGGATGTCGAATCAAAGGTTTGCAAGAAAGTCAATATTGTAACAGAGGATGAAGCATCCTCTAACTTTGTGTCTGCTGTCTGTTGGAACAACGAGGGCCGCCTGGTGGTAACTGGAGACAACCAAAGTCACTTGAAGGTACATACGGCATTGCATTAATCAGCATTACAAGGTTTGAACCAATTGCCTGTCCCAAATGGGACATAAATTTACAGTGCAAAAATGAGACAATTAGTTTATTTAAATTTAAATATTGTTAATCCACATAAAATAATCAATAATAAGCAGGGCCTTTTTTAGAAAATGTTTCCTGTATCCTTATGTCTAGAACGCTGATCCCACAGAAAATTAAAAACCTCTTGGGGGCCCATCTCACGAATTGTAGGGTTGTGGAAAAAAAGTCAATTAAAATTGCTACATAATCAATGTACTTTTTACGCGGATAACAAAAACAAAGAAAAAACAAATGTAATTTTTTCATCTTTTTGCAGCTAAACTTATATCCCATTTGGACAATTAGTCCCAATTTGTTTAAACGTTTATGTCGTTTTTGATAACTCTTGTAACTCATCCTAGGTTACTAGTATATTTTTGTCGATTAAATCATTTAAGATATAATTCAATTCAGCATTCAAAACTTGGCAAAATTATTTTCTGGAAGGTCTTCGATCCTGAAATGGAAAAGATTATACACGGCGTAAACGTAGACGGAAAGACTACAATTAGTGTGATAAGATGGAGGAACAACGAAATCTACACGCAAGTATAATAAATTGAAAAATGAACATTCTATTGAAAGAGGAAAAACTTGAAGATTCATGAGCGCTCTACGACTCAAATTTTTTGTCTTTCAGAGGAGATCGCAAAGGGAGAGTTTACCAGTATGATCTAAGGTGTCCTGTCTTAGCTGGTAGATTGGTTGGACAGGGATTAGACATTTGTGGCATGGCGCTGTCCAATAATTCTCATGACATGGTGACGGGTGGTAACGGTGGGGTTGTGCGGTTATGGGATCTACGAGCGCAGCATTGCTTTAGGACAATTAAAGCACACAATGGATGCGCTAAGGTTTGTTTCATTTTGTTTCAACAGTGAAGTTGTTTCAAAACCGAAAATTCCTTAAACTGAAAATATTTTGAAATAGAATTATTTTTACGAAATGCACAGGCACTGGCATGGTGTCCATGGCGAAGCAGTATCATAGCAACGGGAGGGGGAGCACAAGATGGGTACATCAAACTGTGGCAGATTCACACGGGCGAACTGAATGGCAAAATGTCAACCAAATCTCAGGTTTGATAAACTGTTGAAGCGGGGGTGCCTGAAATTGAACTAGGTACCTTGTGGTAAAAATAAGAAGGGGTGCCCCGTATACGAAACAAGTGCCTGTGCGTTGTATAGAAGTTTATTCGTTATCATTACAATGTTTTGCATACCTTTTAGGTATGTGGGTTATTATGGTCACAAGAGTACCAAGAACTTGCTTCCAGTCACGGTTCAGTAACCCCAGAAAACAACGACATTGTGTTGTGGAGGATGTCGAGATTTCAATTCGAACCCCTTGCAAAACTTCAACAGCACTTAGCACGCCCTCTACACATGACTCTAAGCCCCGATGGAACTACAATAGGTAATCATATTTGTTATACTTTGATATCTTATTTAAAAATAAGACAATACCTTTTAGATGTTCCCACTAGCATTTATATGTACTACTATGTATACCATGATTTTGCAACTTGTATGAGCGATAAAAAAAAATGTTGCACAATAAAGTACGGGAAAATTCTTCATTGTATGTAATTGTTTTAAAGCAATTATTGACAGAATCACAATTTTCTTTTGTCCGCATTTAGAAAGTTCTTCACTGCATGTGTGTACTTTTAAGTTGGTGGTATTTCAAACTACATGTGTGTACTTGTATGGATATCAAGTATCACTGTATTTGTAGTTACTCGTGCAGATCGGTTTGATCTGAGGGAAAATGCACTCGGATACAATTATGTAATTTCGTTTCCATAAATGAAAAGAGTTACGAATTTGCATGATTTTTTTTTCTAATAGAGGGACAAGAACTTGCGTCTTTCTCTCTTCTTTGCTATCACTTGTTTATTCCTGGGAAACAATTTGAATTTTATTTGATCACAATGTGGATGTGCATGCTTTCCTTTGTCATTATTTTATCATAAATGTAAATATTATTGCCATGTTATGACAATTAGGAGGTAATATGGATTTTTTCTGCAGCCTCCGCTGGAGTGGATGAAATGATGTGTATCTGGGAATGTTTTCCGGAAAATCGCGACCAATACCGGAAACAATCTTCGTCGCCACTCGCTCTGAACCAAGTGATCCGATGATAATGGTTACTTTGGATCATGAAAATGGAAATACTTGATTTGTTTTTCTTTCGTCAGAAAAGAAAGATCTACAAAAAGACATCACTTAGAACAGTTGTTTGAATTTGTAAATATTAAACGTTATCATGTTTGTTGTGTATTAAAAATTAGTGCATGTTGTTTTTTGTTGAATTATGTTAACCATAACCAAATTTAATTGTCTGATCAGCGTATCCTTCTATGTTTCTGTGTGTTACAGAAAATTTCTTAGCTTGGAGCAAAAATTATTGAACTATACGCCATTTGAGGTCACGAAAAACTACAAGAAATTTCATTCAGTGCTCTTAGAGTTGATTGAAATTTCATTATGGCTATTTTAAGTCGTTCGATCGTCAATCGTTTGGGCTTCTTCTCCAGGACAATAAGACCAAAATTGAATTTTGCAAAGACTCTATAACAGATTTTTATTCACATTAATTTGAAAAATTGTAATCTTTTTTTTTAAATTTTAACAATAGATTTAGTCAAGCAGTGGTTTTTAACAGAAGAAATTATTTGCAAGATTTTACAATCAGCTGAAATCGCAAGTTCTTCTATAGAAATAATATGGCTTGCAGTATTTCACAAAATTGATCATTTACTGATTGCAAGAAAGTGTCGTTTCTTCGCCAATGTTTTAAGAGCGTTGTAGCCCCCCCCCCCCGAAAAAACGTTCGTAATGAGTAACTGTAATATATTTTATCACAGTCTTTCTCATCAGGATGTTTGTTCATTTTCAAGTACATATATCAAGACATTATGGGAATATGTTGAGATTGAAAACCACGTGCTTTACGCTGGAAATGTAATTTCGTGAGTTCATCATTTACATTCTCTAGAAACGTCGGATATCTTTTTTTTTTTAAATTACATTTACTATACAACTTGTCAACATAATGTCAAAACCTATTGATTCTTGGTAAAAGCAATACTTTGCAAACATTTCAAAAAATGTACGATCGTCAGCCCACAGGAGTTCGCGTACCTATCAATTTAACCGAAATATTCAGTAAATAAAAAAAAATATGTAATACCTGTAATAATAACACTATTATAGGTATTACGTATTTTTTTATTTGCGGAAAATTTCGGTTAAATTGATAGGTATGCGAACTCTTGTGGTCAGCCACACAAAAATTGCATTCATTAGCTCACTTCAACGAAGGAAGGGTGGGGTGGGGGACTTATGTAACACGTTGGTGTTACATATACTGGTTCAAACCAATGTAACTTTAAGCCCTCCCTAGACCAAACTTGCAGGGATGATTCATGTAGGAATGAAAATACAAGACTTGCTTTAGAACCTAGATCTGGCCTACATTTTCTTAATGAATGACCAAATTGAAGATTCATTCCCAGGTTACTATAAGCCATATGCTAACCAAACTCGAATGAATGATACATCTAGGGATCACACTACCAGATTTGTTACAGATGCTAAATCTTACATTCTCAAGATGACTGAACAGAAAAAAAGTTTTGGAGGAAGTCCATTACCAAGTAACTAAAAATCCTACCCCGACCAATTTTGCATAAATGTTGCACCTACTCTAGGAATGCACACTACCAAAACATTTGTTTTGTGTGAGACTTTGCTTTATCTAAAGATAACAATCTTTTACTTCAGCTTTGTAATCTTTGATTACCTATGTTTTAATCATGATCTAATAACAAAGACTTTTCATAAATGACTGAAATTCACAAAATATGCTGGTTGTACTCACTACATGCTCTAGATGCGGATGACAAATCAACAAATAAACAATTTTTCTAAATGTTCCTCCCCCCGACCATTCCTTTACAAAAAAAAAAATGATTGAACTAGGAGCAATGTCAATTACAGCATTTTGAAGAATTTTATGACGTTTTGATGAATTCTACGCCACATACGCACGTGCTTGACACGGTTTGGTTGGTAGGTGTCAAGCAGTAATCGAAAATTTGATTTCATCATAAAGCATGCAAAAGGAGAATACAAAATATTCAGACGAGGGGTGCGACAAATGCTTGTGATGTTGAAGTGGGTAGAAAGGGGGCGGGGTTCATTGATCAGCTGTTTGGTATATTTAGGAGTGAACGAGAGGGAGGGATGTTAGAGATTGTCAAATGCTGGATCTACTCACGTTATACAGGTAAACAATTCTTTTGATTTCTATTTTCCCGCGAAAAGTTTTAAGTATTGCAAGACTTTAAATCAGATGGATTTGTAATAGCAAATGAAAATGTCATCATCTCGAAAAATAAAGACAAACATTGGCTTTTAATATTTCAGAAGAAATATTAAAGCAAGATAAATTGTTGAGATTAAAAAAAGAGCATATCTTTTTCTAATCAATTTTGATTCTGAACCTATATTTTGATATTTAAAAATTTGAGTAAACATATTAGAATATTTGATCACTTGTATGTTATGGTTACACACACTAATCAACTTATAAATGAGCATCTTCCTGAAATTCTTGCTTTAGTGTATATCACGTGTAAAAAGATTTACAGCTTTAAAAAAACGTTTTCAATTGTTTGTAAACTGAACGAAACTTTAAGTTCCAGCAAGAAAATCCCAGGATGGGATTCCCTTCTTTGACATCACGCACATGAAATGAAACAAAAAAGCTGAGAATATATAGGAATCACAGGCAAATATATGGAATACAACCTGTCCCATGCCCGAAAATTATTAGACTCGATTAAAAGTTATTTTGACCTTGAAACACGTATTTGGTTCCATTTCTCGAGAGAAGTTGCTTCAAGTTGCTTCTCAGAATTAATGAAAATTTCACCACTAAAATGTTATCGAATCTTATATATTGCATTCGTGTCGTAGACAAAATCTGAATATATGTATGATACCATGGATCTATAAAACTCTATTTTTTGATTATGATAAAACTATGAATATCATAGTGTTCGAAAATTGTCTACATGGACCAAGAAGGGGGAGGGTCCTTGTCTATCGAAGGCGTAGTAGAAAGCGAATCCCAGACCCCGTTGCTGCAAACGGATAAGCTACATCATTGTCACCCAGATAAAACACCATCGGAAGAGGAAATCTTGCGAATTGTACATGTATTATCTCCTACATGTATCTAAAAGAACTTTTTCTTGCATCCATATCCTTCAAGTATAATATATTCCTTCTTTATCTCTTCATACAATACCTTTTTCTTGAAAATATCAATGAACTCATTGCAAAACTTAAAATCTATTGAACGCATGAATGAAAATGACCTTCCCCCTTTTTGGTAATGGGTATAATCCACACCAAACAGTTGTAAAGAAAATGCTTTTATTATGTTATATCACTTTTTGACCCCCCTCCCCAGCCCCTTCCGCATTTGTCAATGGGTATATTCCACATCGAACAGTTGCCAACAGAAATAATTATTTATTATTAAGTTATATTACTTTCTATTATGATAATGTATATTTTCTGATTCAAAATGAAACTCCTTGTGTTGCAGGTGCTATCACAAAGCGATATGAAGGGTTTAACTTTGTTTGGAAGACTCCCCTGTGTACTGTTAATGACTATATTTGTTATAGGTAAGACTAATGCATGTTATGAGAGTTTGTCTCCCAATATAGCAGCAAAGAAGATTATAAACTCCATAAAAGTCACAAGAATATTGTATTTTTCATTTCTTAGGTTTAACCGAGTCACGAACGATATCAGAAGACAATTTTTATCCAGGGTCACTTGCTAAACGTAACTGTAAGTATAATTAATGCAAGTTTGTAATCGTTGGATCATTTACCTTAAATTCCTGATTATAACGACCACTCTACTACAGACAAAGCAAAGAAAAATTCAGAACTCGATGTTGAGAGGGGAAGGGGGGGGGGGTCTTCTGTAACTTGTCCATTCTATAACAAAATATTTTTTCCTGCAAGACCAATATTTTTTTTGTCACACTTTCTACAACAACAAGAAGAAAATTTAAATTCATCCAATGGGGTCGTAATTGTAAACTATTGTTTCGTCGATTTTAATCTTTATGAAAACTACGAACATAGCAGTGGTGAACATTTAATTTGATTGTGTCCTTCATTATTTGTTGATGTATGCTGTGTATTTTCTTTCCAGCCTGGTGGAGCAAGAAGTCATTAGATGACAATGCTGTGAAATTAAGAGGTATTCTTTGTTTCATTTTTGAAGGGGGGGGGGGTCTTTGTTGTAATGGTTATCTTTATTTCTATGACTTTACAATCATAATGTCCCTACTAAGAGAAAATGTGAACCTAGAGGGAAAGTAAAGTCCATACTGTTCCACTTTCGTGATCCAGTCCTATCCAAATGAAGTACATTTGCAAACTTTTGTTTTATTTGATTTGCTTCTGTGTGGTCATATACAAGTCTTGGAGTCTTGGACTCGACATCAGTCACCAAAAACTATCAATCATGTAATTAATAAAAGGTTCTTAATAACTTTAGATATATCTGCTATTTCAGATAATAGACTTTCTGAAGATGGTTGTGACTGTCATACTTCTCTAAGAATTCACAGTACGTACATTGTTATATACTTTAGGGGGTGCATGATGTTTCTCAGAAATTATCAGATATTGCTTCTACAAATAAGTCACAAATACGACAATCTTTACAAGTAATTTTAGTGTGTCATTTTTTTAAAATACAGAATGCTATGCTACACACTGTGTGACGGGCTTCCTCCACTGTTTACGTGAAGCTATCAGTGAACAACACTACTCCATATGTCATGAGGAACATAACCTGTGCCTGTCTAAATGTTACAGACTGGAAGAAGACAACTTCTAATCATTGAGTTCCTGACCGGCAGAAATCTCATTTCATTTGACATTAAATAACAGTGCTATAAAATTCATGATTTGAAAAATGTACTTCGTATTTTTTTCTTTGCTTATGTTGAAATATAACATTAAATCAGAGGACTGTAAATTAGTGACAAGTGTGGTTTTTAAAGGATCTTAATTAAAACTTCTTATTTTTCATAATACTGTAAAATCATTTATTTTTGTGCGGTCAATTTTGTGTGGTTTGCCAAAAAACGTAGGGTCATTGGGATTTGCTTTTGTGGTTGAAGGAATGTATCTAAACAATACCATGAAAACAATGAAAAATTAAACTCCCATGAAAATTAGTGATTTCACAGTATTCATTTTTCTTTTGGTCACGAACAGTGAGCATGCATTTTTTATGAGTTCAATTCAACTAAATAAGTTGAAAAGAAAGTTCCAACTGATTACCAACTGATTGGAATCTTATTTTAGCAAAATATTTTGTCAGATCTTCCATTGGTAGAATTGCACAAGTCTTGTAAGCTAGAATTGCAACATTGTATAACAGTTCAGTACATGTACTTCTAATTGAAGAAGAAAGATGACTTATTATTGCCCAACCTGATATCTACCTATCAACTGCAGAAAGCAACACTAGGTTATAACATGAATTTTCTACCACAACCAAGAAACTAGAAGTTTCTAGTTCCTGTGCTGGGACAAAGGTAGCTTTGCATCCATGTGGACATCTTATTTTCCATTATCTGAGGTTTTATCCATATTTTATCACATTGTCACTCTCCAAACAGCATACTGTGGACAGCGGTGTAGGTGTCTATGCCCATGCTTTGTTGTAGCTGATTAAAACACTTGTGGGCCAGATTGATTAATGCTTTCCTTCCACTTAACATCATCTCTCCATATAGATAAACACCCATACCCTATAGAAAAAAAACACTGATTTTTTTATTACATGTATAAACAGCTTACTGTGAAATAAAAAAAGGAAAACTCATTTGAAATTGTAATAAACTATCCCAGAAATTTGTGGGCAGTTACCTTGTCCTTTGTTATTGTGAATAAAAGATCATAGGATTAGGATGGAGGGAGGGGGGGGGGGGGGGAGTATATACATGTACTGGTAATTTTACCAGTACATGTATATACTTTACTACAGACAACAAAGCAAATTTACAGTTGTGCCCCTTAAGAATTTTTCCAGTATATACTAGTATACACTAAAAAAAAAGCTGATTTACAGTTGTGCCCTTCAAAAATAATGTCTGATGCTTTTTCTTTTTTACTTAATATTAAATTTTTTTTAGGCTGTGGCCCCCAAACTGAAATTGTTTCCTATGGGTCTATTACCTGATGATCTATGAGGAAGTCCTGGATATCTTTGTAAAAACTACTGCTTCGATGTCTGCACTTTATTATGAGTTCACACCATCTGTGTTTGATCTGAAAAGATACACATGGATAATGACATATTCAATGTACAGTGAAATGTGACGAGCTTTCAAAAATACAATTTGGGGCCTAAAAATAAACTCTGTCCATATTTGAAATGGCAGTTTTAGTTGAATTCAGCACAATCTTAATTTCATCATTAATGATCTTTAACTTTACACACCTCAGCATTGCAAGTTCCTATGTGATACTTTTTCTTCAGACTTGACAAACCAAACCATGGGATCTCATTTTCATCCAGAAGTAATTCTAAGAAAAGTATCAATTCATCTGGGCTATACTGTAAATATACGAAAATGTTGTTGTTAAAAGAATACCTCTTTAAACTCTACTGAGTGCATTGCAAAGTGGAAGTTTCCTTGAATTGCAAGGGCATGGAGATTAATTCAACAGTGTTCTATGTTTGCTTGCACTTAAAGCTAAAAATCTTACACCCTTTAATTCTGCAATTATCATAGGCTCGGACTTTTTTCTCCTACACCTTTCACAAAACAGATCAACCTATTGAAGAAATAAACTGTAAGGTACAGACAAATTAAAAGAAAACTTTACGTTTCTAACCAAAGTCTACAATGTGTTACCAAGTTTACCTGATTCTTCACATTTTGCACTATTTTGCTTCCTTTCTCTATCATGCCTGATACTGCCTGCAAACAAATAAGGATTTGTATTATTTATGTCCTTAATTGAACATTTCCTTCAATGTTTAAAAGATTACACATAATAATTTGTCACTGCTGCATGTACAATGTATGTATTATCCAGTATGTTTTCCATAATTTCATACCATGATGATGACACAAATGGTGTCTATCCATGCTTTCAAACATTTATTATTTTCAGTTAGAAAACACTTTAAAATTTTACACTTGACTTACAGATGGCAATCCTGAGCATTCCAACCAAATGGAAGACAATTCTGAAGCAGTCAGCCCAGCTGCACTAAAACCAAATATAAAAAGAAAATACATTCTAAGACAATAGAGAATTTAACATGTACTTTCAATTCTGCTTTCCTATCTTGTAAGTTTAAATAGTACTTACGAAATTTCTTCACACTCATGGATAAAAAATTGCAAGACCTCCTACAAACAAAATCTTTACTGTCAGTACTTGAAAGACTGCATACCAACACATAAAATATACACTGTTGTTTTTAACGGTATATCAATACACAGATGACAAATTAGGGTTTCTTCAGGGACAAAGAACTAAAGCAGTTACCTGAGAGGAAACCAGTTTCCCATGAAACTGCTGAACATATTTTCCAAGACATTCTAAAAATTTCATAGATCCAGCCAATTTTTCCAAATACCTAAGCAGGAAATATCCCTAAAAATAAGATAAACTTTATTAAATGTAACTTATTTATTTAAAAATATACAAGTAATACTTATAAAGTTTGGATAAAAAAATGTTTTTCTGGACATGCAGTTATAACAACAAAAAGGAAATAACAATGAAACTCAAAACACCAAACTTACTTTGAGGTAATGAACCTGTAAATATTTCTTCTCAGGGTTCATTCCATTTTTAACAAATGTTTTGTTGCTTCCTGACTCAGTACAATCTGGTCTGTAAAAAGAAATATTTATCTAAAACTTTGTAAATTAATTCGGTATTATGGCTTCCAATTTTGACTGAAATCAATAAAATCATCAAAGTTGAAGGTACCAATATTAAATTAAATGTAATGCTTGCATACTTGAGTGTTTGAAGAGTTTCTTCTGTATTCTGAATTTCTGCTGTCAGGATGCGGAATTTAACGAGGTCTCTGAGATCACGGACGTCACTCTCCTCCTCTTCTGACAATCTCCCTAATCTCTGTCCAATTTGAACAATTACCACTTTAATATTAATAAAAACAATTACTCCTATAATACTAATGTTTTCTACCTGTACTTATAAAAGGTCTCTCAATATACCCTTTTTTACTTACCCTTAGCACCCTGGTATGTATAATGTCCTCCAGATATGTACAGAATCCTTCTGTCAGCCATTCCTCTGTCCAGTCTGCTGGACCTATCACAATACCATACCACGTGTGACACACCTCATGAGCAAGGCGATAAAACATGGATAAGTCTGCATGCAGGAGAGACTGAGATAAGTACAAAATACTAGGGCTGAAACAAAATTTTATACATCAGTTCCTCATGCATAGAAACACTTAATATGTTAATAAAATATATCTAACTAGATTTAAACAAACAAAACTAAAGGAGATGTTTCTACCTTTATTCAAGCTCTAGTCTGGTGATGTCCATCAAGGACATGACAAACTTTTGAGCCTAGGGAAAAGTTTGGAATCATCATAGTCAAGACTTTCAAAAAACACAGTCATTTTTTGGTTACAGATTGGCAGACAGAAAGCCAAGATTGTCAAATCTAAGCTTTCCTTCACATTAGGATTGGACATTATTTCATAGTTAAATATATTTTTTTTTTGAATGAAAGTGCCAATGACTGTTTGAAATTGTATGCATTATCAGGTTTAATCATAATAAAATATGGTTTGTGAATTTTGCATTAAAATGCACAATGTACATAAATCGTAGAATTAATTCTTTACAGCCTACATGGATTAGTTAACGTCAATGTACAGAACATATTTTTGCATCATGGACTTAAATGCACTAGGTTTATACCTTGCCATTCCTAAACTGTCAAAAGATGCTGGTACTACCAGAATGTCTTGTCTTTTCATTGGATGTTGTCCCAGCACAGCAGTGACCTCCTCAAGACACAGAGGAATGTATTGATGGATAGCATTCATGGAAGTCATCAGAATCTTGGGACCAAACACACGGTAAGGGATCACGTCACTAAAAATCCCAAATATATAGTACATGTTAAAAGATTCTAAATACATGTACACAGTACAGGATAAGTTATAATTTCACTTGAAATCCTAAATACACAGTACATTTGTCCGTGGAAAGGGATTATGTCACTGGATATCCAGTGGATAGCACAATACATGATAAGGGATCACTTCACTGGAAATCCTAAATCTCCAGAACAGGATAAGGGATTGCTTCACTTGAAATCCTAAATAAAACACTGTATACCATGCATGATAAGGGATCTACATGTATATGTAAGAGTTTTATAGAAAATGTTATGCAAATTGACTTCAGAAATGAGTAAATCTAAACTGATGTATTTTCTGACACATAGTTTTGATTTCCACAAAATCTTGTCTTACTTCTCTTGTGTTTGGGGCTTTTTACACTCTTTCCAATATCCAACAGCAAGTGAAAGAGTTGAACTTGGCATGGGAAAGGAAGTCCAAAAGTAAAAACATTCCATTCCTATAGAAAATATATATACAGTTATACAAAGTGATATGAAGGTCATTCCACTCTTAAACAATACTTGATTATCATATTAGAAGTCATCGTCGGAAACCCATGGCCAATCTCGCATACACTTATCAATAAGTGTATGTGAGATTGGCCCTGGGTTTCCGACTCTGATGAGAAGGATGTCAATTTTATTTTTATGTTTAATTCAATTGAGTCTTCATTAACACTCAAAACATTCTTTAAAATGAAATGAAATATAAAAGCATACATTTAAAATTTCATGAAGATTCATTTATCTGACTTACTGTTTTCTAAATGTTTTCTCTGTGGATTGTGATCCCCACTCATAATGACGGTCAATCCCTGGGGTACCTTAACAAAGGCTTGCCATGTTGCAAGAGCCTCCGGAACATCTTGACTAGGAAATAGGGAGCGGTTGTTGATCCAGTGTCCATGTGTGTACACACAGTCACTACAAACATCAATTACACAGTCAATACAAAGTACAAACATTAGTGTGGGTTACTTAGTGCATATTTATTGATTATATACATTTGTGTACTGTTAATGTGATACTACTGAATTGGGCTGTCATGGTTCCAAAATTTTTCGGGTAGGGTCGGTTCTGTAAATTTTCGGTTCAGTTATTTTCATTTATTTTAAACCTTAATTTCATTAATTTAACTTGAAAAATCTTTATTTGTTACGTTAAGTTCACCTTGAAAACAAGTCCTAACCATGTTAACGTTTTGATATTGGTGTTTAAGACTTCTAGGCCGACTATTAGCTAAAACCTGACCATTCTTGCTCGTTTTGATAATTAACTAATCCTTCTGTGACAAGTGTTTTGTCACGGAATAAAGTAGATTTTAGTTGTGATGTTTATTTATCACTGTTATAGTCATCATTCTTTTGATTTTGACGCCATTTTTTGTATAAAACAGACTCTAATATATAAACCAGACCCGAACTGAAATCCGGAAAAATGGAACTGAAACCAAACCGAACAACTTGGACTGCGGTTTTCGGTTATTTCGGGGAACCGTGATAGCCCTACTACTGAATAATGTTCTCATGCAGTGTAAAAAACATCAAATTTTAAGAATCACATACATTCAGAACACCAAGCAAATGAAAGAATTAAAAAATAAAAAATTAAATTGCAAATCTTTCAACATCATCATAGAACTATCAGCTTTACTGGTACATGTACTTACTTGCCATCTTGATCCTTTGTCCATTTTAGAGAATGTCCATCTAATGTTTTATATGAAATATTTATTGCCCTCAGCTCATTTTTATCTTTTTTATGATCAGGCACCTGAATCTTCAAACACTGGTCCCCTAATTCATATTTGAGTGATGTACAAGTTGTCTGAGAGTTTTCTATTGAACAGTCTGGTGAAATAAATGTTTCTGAATCAATGCTTGATGTCACTTTTTCCTCTGAAACACTTTGTATTTCCAACTTATGACAGTCTAATATCAATGTGAAATCCTTAATTCTAGTGTTTCCTTCACTGACAAAATTTTTCCTGGGTATATTATTTGATATTTGTGTATTCTCAAATGACTGATCTGAACTTTTCATTTGTTTGACTGGAGATACATCATTTTCTGACCAAGAGAGGCTTCTTTTGAAAACAAAATGTGTTTTTCGAAGATCTATACTAGATCTCCCCAAATCTGTTGATCCTTTGCTCACAGGTTGATATGTCTCCTCAGAATTTTGAGATAAATGCATAAGTTGCTCATCACTTTTTACTGTCTGTATTTCAGCTGAACTGGGTTCCTGGACTACATAAGAACTCTCTGGGTAATATGAATTGGTACCTCTTTCACAAGCTTCATAACTTGGACTACTGGAGCGGATTACTTGACAAAGATCACTAAGCCGTTCAGTCTTTGGATTACTTTCAAGTCGCTGGGTGAAAAAGACAGTTGTACTGCCATGAAAGACCTGATTTTGAAGATCACACTGCAGATTTATTTTGTAATGATGCACCTGTATTTCTGATATGTTGGCTGACAATGGCAGGTCATATTCTCCTCTCTTCTCAATATTCTCATTCATCATCAACTTTGTGAATGAATTGAAAGTCTTTCAATGAATATATCACATTGTCAATTATTTTTACTTAATGATAGAAAAAAAAATAATTAATTATTTTTAATGCAGTGACAACTTGCTAATCCTGGTGCCAATTCGTCCTTTTCAGTTTTCTCTGGCAAAAAACACTGCAGGTTTCCATGAACTATATACTGGAAACAACTATTGCGTTATAAAAGAAAGAACTGATAATACACCACAGTAATCCGGATATGACAAAATGCATCCAAGTGCTCTTTTAACAAAGATACAGCAAAAGTCCTAAATGATATTGACAGTAAACAAGGGGATGTGGGAAGGTAATGACATACTTAGACAATACACTATAGATCATACAAATGTATGTAAAATTTTGAGGTGCCCGTTTTTTTGTACCGGCAAACAAATTTTAGAGGAAATTCGGACAAGGAAAAATGTATGTTTTGCATTCCTAAAGAAATGCATGCATAACTCTGTGGTGAGAGATTGAATTTATTGTTATATGTAAATTCAGTATTACATTAGCAATACACTCAGTTGTTAATTGTTTATAAATAGAATTGATACGTGTCTTTATTTTCCAGGGACTTGGGAATATTGCCTTGGTTACTGGGAGAGTTTCCAGGAGACACTGAGCGACTTGGACATCGATTACTGGCGCTGGGTGCTATGGGTTATATACCCAATCGTCATATCTTTTCTACTCCCTATATTTATTCTACTATTTCTTTATTGTTCAGCTTTCTTTCTTCATTTGTACAACTACCGACACAACTTTAGAGAAGCATACCATCATGATGTATGGGATGGAGCTAGGACGGCCATAGCTGCAGCATGGGATGCTCAAGGAAGAATCTGGCATGGTACATTTATTTTTTAATGATGCCTTAGAATGAATAATCATTGTCAATAATTAGACATGATATGGCTCATAATCATGATAATTAATGGTCTTTAAGCTTTTTGGATTTAGTTTTTATACTCCGAAATTTATCTATCTCACATTCCTACATTAGTATTATTATTATATTCATCAAGTTATATGAATTTCAAGGTTTTGAGATAAAGGGTTTGGAGAAGATCCCTGAAGTTGGTGCAGCCTTGATTGTTTACTATCATGGAACTCTCCCCGTGGACTTTTACTATCTAATTGCGAGATGTCTGCTGGAAAGGAAAAGACATATCAGAGCTGTCGGAGATAATTTCCTTTTTCATATACCAGGTAATGGATGTTTTTCATGCTCATTTCCAACATACTGTGCTGATGATCATATTTGTTTGAGCATTGTAATTAATTGTTTTTATGTTGACAGGATTTAGAAACATTTTGGAGGTTTTTAGAGTCACTCCTGGTACAGTCCAAGACTGTGTTAAGGTGCTGAATGATGGACACTTGTTAGCCATAGCACCAGGTAATGTCTTCTGATTATACATATACATGTATCAGAGTACATCTATAGCCCCACTTTATGTTAACACTCGCAAAATGTAACTGATACAAGATCAATATTATACCTCTTGTAAAACTAGTTTGTTCTCTTAGCAGGATATTTTTGCTACCTTGAAATAAAAGAATGTGATTCATCTTGATATTAATTGCGCTGGTTTTAATAACTACCCCCTCCCAAACAAGAATTGTTTTGAAATTTTTTGTAACGATAGTTTCTTCACATGATACAATTCAAATGAATGACAATTTAAGAATCTGATCTTTTCATTATAATCCTTTTCACAAAAAGGATGGCTCTTAAAATTTATGTTCTAAGCTAATGCTGAAGAGAAATTTAAACAGTAGTTGTATTACAGGTGGAGTAAGGGAGGCTCTGTTTGGAGATGAGAATTACCCAATTATGTGGGGGAAACGTCAGGGATTTGCCAAAACTGCTTTACAAGCAAATGTGGTGAGACATCTTCTATTAAAATTAAAATGATTAGAATTTTTTTTCTTTTTTTTCAGCCATATGATTTAAGGAATGTGAGTATATATAGTGAGAATCTTTTATCTGTTTTCCTATGTATCTTTTCTTTGGCCTTCTTCTCCTGAAAGACTAAGCTTTTTTTAAAATCAAAGGCATTATGCATGCCAAATAAAAAAAAAAACACAGAATGCATTTTTTAAAAAAGTATACTCCTCAGAAAGGGTAAAAAATGATTTGTGCTCAATGGATATATTATGAAAGGAATACTGTAGATCACTAAGTATTTGCGGCACCTTATTTGTGTGAGATTAGTTTTTGTCTTATAAGTGAGACAAAATTTTCATGAATTCTGTTTATTGTAGTACATGTATATAATGTTTACTTATAAAAATACATGTATACCGGTGCATGAGAATAAAATGAGAATGAGAGGACAGTGTTCGGTAATTAGGTGTAAATAAAGTTCTTACAAATAAAAAGTGATTTACAGTACCCCCTCCTATTAAAGCTAAGTCCATTTGATAACTATAAGTCCTATACAGTAAAACATGCAGAAAGCTAACTTGTGTAAAGCTAGTACCTGCTTAAAACAAACTTGAAAGCATTGTTTTTTCACTAACAAGTTCATGCAGTCTTATGAAAGATTAACTAGATGTAGTGAATAGTGGATATAAGGAAGTAATGTCAATCATCCCAGTTGATTAACTTGATTTGTTCTATCCATGTTTTATTGTACATTATAAAGGAAAATATATGACCTCCAGGTAAAGGTTTGGGGATATGAGGTACATAGGAATCGTTAGGTGATTTGTTCATCTGTCTGACTGTCCATCTGCCCTACCTTTTTAATGGAAAAACATTAGAACCTTGCACATGTACTGTAAACAAAAATTGCTTATGACTTGAGGGTGTTTCATGACCCTGATCTAAGGTCACTTGTACAAGGTCAATGTTGGAGGAACCAAAAGCATGGAATTCTTGTCTGGGCTTTGAAGAAAGAAATTTCATGATCTGAGGGTATATCACCTTAAGTCATTTTAACAAGAGAAGAAGTAGATTAAAAGGAATGAATTCTGGATCTGAAATTTAACTTTTTTGAATCTTTGGATTGAAGATTGGCTGAGGACAGAGAATATGTCATAACTTTAATCAAGTTACACTTTGTGAAGGTCAGTGCCACATGGCGTGCAATGTAAATTTCATGAAAATTGTGTTGTGATTGTATATTGTCCCTGTCCTGTTTTGAGATTACTCTGCTCTGACTATTCATTCTATTAGAGCTGCTTTTCCTTTGTCCATATTTATTATTATACCCTTGCTTGAAAAGCATGGGGGATATAGTGATGGGGATGTCCATCCTTCCTCCCATAAGACTTTCTGAACATCTGCAACACCCTGATGTGTGTGTGTGGGGGGGGGGGACCCATCTCTTATTCACAACTCCTCCTATACCACTGAATAAAATTCCATGAGACTTTCAAAGAATCTTTATTACAGGGTGCCATTGTGCACCTTCTATTTTACGTTTTGATTAGACAGCAAAACATGGACACTGCCATTCTTTCTAGAACACTGGGGATACCCATCTCTTATCCAAAACTCCTATACACTGAATCAAATTTAATGAGACTTTCACAGAGTCTTTATTATATAGTGCAATTATGCACCTCCTATTTTATGTTCTGATTGGTCAGATATTTGGAGTTTCCAATGTCAAGAAATGGACTTTGCCATTACACTCATATAGAGAGGGGGTGTATTATTTAGTGAGCTCAGTGCTCACAATGCCTCTAGTTATTATCTAAAATTTGTTTGTTTTCTTCATAAAATTTTGTTAAACTTTGTTTATTTTGTAGCCAATTATTCCAGTATTTACACAGAATGTGAGGGAAGCCTTCAGAACACCCAAGATAACCAAGTGTAAGTTATATCTATGGACAAGCATTTTGAGAGTACTGCATAAGCAATGCTGGTCCCCTACCAGTAAGTGTAGTGTAGTGTAATCTGGTTCCCCTGAAAAATTAAAATGCCTGCAATTCTGCCAAAAGTCATCAATGTGGAACAAAATGCAGACTTGATCTATTACTCATCATATGGATAGACTTGCATACTGAACATCAACTCAATATCTGCAAGCATAAAGAAAAAAGAAGTCTGGAAAACCAAGCAGGAAAGACAGACAAAGGAGGAAACCTATAGTCCCCTCTGGTTTCATCGGAATGGGACTAATAATGAGTAACATTAATAGAAAGAGTATATATAGGGACTGTAAACCTCCTTCAAGTCCTTAATTAAGGATGTATATGTATAAACAATCATATGATAAATGCTTCCAGACAGAGGTGAAATTTTATTGAAATTGCAATAGACATTTTTTTTTTTTTTTTTTATAATTTTATGGAAAATATATCTCAAAGTTTGATAAATAATACTGAACTTCAGAATTGCCTCTAGATATCTGTGACTTTCTTTATAATTTTCATTGAATAAAAATAGATTTTAAATATATTCTTCATTTTCAATCAACTTTTCCAGCATGCCTCCGAAGACTTTATGAAAAGACACGCCTTCCCATCGTACCAATTTATGGATTTTTTCCAGTTAAATTCAAGTATGTGTGTAATTAGAGTCATAAGATATGGAGGGTGAATCATTTGAACATATGAAAGAATTTTTTGATCAAGTATAGAACAATTCAATATTTTGAGATTGGATTACTCTTATTTATAATTTTAACTTACAGTATGTTTATTGGGGACCCTATTTATCCAAAAGAAGAGCAGACTTCTGAATCTTTAGCAAATGAGGTATGTGGTTTGTCTGGTCTCATAATTGAAACTAGCACAAATGGATATACATGTATTATGAATGTCTGTTCTTTGAGAAATTAAATGTTAAAAAAATGTAACAACGAAGAAAAACTTATACAGGAATCTTAGTGACATCACATTTAAGTAGATGTAGTAATGGCACTTACACAATTATATTTTGGGTAGGTAATCAATGCAATAGAGACCTTGATACACAAGCATCAGAGACTTCCAGGTAATATACTGTGTGCCCTGATGGACAGGTTTATGTAAACTCTAGAGGCAACCCGAACTTGGCTTTCATTAAAAAAAAACCTCAGGTGATATTGTAGAAATTACAGCTGATTGTGTTCTATTTGTAGATAAAAATTGTCTCATAATGTTAAATGTTTGATACTCAGATTCCCAACTGTAGAATGTGTTGTCCTCACCTATATGATATACATGTATTTATAATTAGGTCTTACTAAATGTAATTTGTGTTGTACTTACATTGTATGTACTTGAAAGGCAGCACATGTAGCACAGGCACTTGTTTCGGTAATAAATTTTTCAACCATATTTATACCCCACGCAACAAGTTGTGTGAGGTATAATGTTTTTGACCCGTCCGTCAGTCAGTCAGTCAGTCATTGTGTCAGTCAGTCAGTCCGTCAGTCCTGTTTTTTTTGTCAGCGCAACTCCTCATAAACCGCTGCACAGAATTTGGTCAAACTTTGCAGATATTTAGGACACAATGTGTAGATGTGCATATTACCAGGAAATTCCGATTCCTTTATTTTTTCTGGGAATTTCAGCACTTTTAAACTTAGATTTTTGGCCATATCTTGAATATAGAGATGAACAGTTTGTCAGTGCAACTCCTCTTAAACCGCTGCACAGAATTTGGTCAAACTTTGCAGATATTTAGTACACAGTGTGTAGATGTGCATATTACCAGGAAATTCCGATTCCCTTATTTTTCTGGGAATTTCGGCACTTTTCAACTTAGATTTTTGGCCATATCTTGAATATAGAGATGAACAGTTTGTCAGTGCAACTCCTCTTAAACCGCTGCACAGAATTTGGTCAAACTTTGCAGATATTTAGTACACAGTGTGTAGATGTGCATATTACCAGGAAATTCCGATTCCCTTATTTTTCTGGGAATTTCGGCACTTTTCAACTTAGATTTTTGGCCATATCTTGAATATAGAGATGAACAGTTTGTCAGTGCAACTCCTCTTAAACCGCTGTACAGAATTTGGTCAAACTTTGCAGATATTTAGTACACAGTGTGTAGATGTGCATATTACCAGGAAATTCCGATTCCCTTATTTTTCTGGGAATTTCGGCACTTTTAAACTTAGATTTTTGGCCATATCTTGAATATAGAGATGAACAGTTTGTCAGTGCAACTCCTCTTAAACCGCTGTACAGAATTTGGTCAAACTTTGCAGATATTTAGTACACAGCGTGTAGATGTGCATATTACCAGGAAATTCCGATTCCCTTATTTTTCTGGGAATTTCGGCACTTTTAAACTTAGATTTTTGGCCATATCTTGAATATAGAGATGAACAGTTTGTCAGTGCAACTCCTCTTAAACCACTGCACAGAATTTGGTCAAACTTTGCAGATATTTAGTACACAGTGTGTAGATGTGCATATTACCAGGAAATTCCGATTCCATTATTTTTGCCATAAGAGTTTTGCCTATTATTGAAGAAACTTTCCAGCCAATTAATAAGGAAATCCACTGGAATCAGCTTTTGTAACGAAATTTTGTGTGAAATATTTTATGACCTTAAAAGACCCCTATTGATTTTGAGATCAAAATATTAATGATTTAACACACACACACAAAATCTTGGATAGTTCTCACCCCCCCCCCCCACCCACCCCCCACCCCCACCCCCCCAAATTGATGCTTTGCCTTAAATAATTTCATGAGTACAGTATATAAACAAATTCATATGACTACATCATAATCTTGTTTCCATCAATTATTTAACTGTGTAAATCGTCATGTGTTGGACATGGACTTACACTCCTTAACAAATCGAAATCACTGAGGAATTTAAATAACAGTTTGTCAGCATAACTCCTGCACTGAATTTCCTGAAACTTTGTAGGTATTTCAGACATAATGTAAAGATTTGTATATTACCAAGAAATTTTGATTCCATTATTTATCTAGAAACTTCAGCCCAATTAGATTTGTAACGTACAAAGATTTGAATATTCTTATATGCAAGAAGTTTTGATGTGATGATTTTTTGCAAATAATGCCCCTTTTTGAATTATACTGTGTATTTAAAATGCACTGTGCCATTCATTATGTGTTGCATTGTTGAGTTTTGGGGGAGCGTGGGGTATGTGAGCTTGCTCACTTTTTCTTTCTTTATTATACTATGGGTTGAAAATTTATTACTGAAACGAGTGATTGTGTCCTTTAGTGGTAGATATTTTTTTTCAATCTGTATGTATTACTGTAGATATTTTAATTACCTTTTCAAAATAATGTGACATACATTGTAATGAATTTAGAAATTATTTTATAATACATGTAACTTTTTTCTAGTCCATGAAGTTTTTCAACCAGTGGAGGAATAAGTTGCAATACTTTTTGTTTAGTTATACTACTATGGATAAGTTTTCAGAATTTTATCAAATTCTTACAGCATGTTCATTCAAAAACAAGTTTCTTAATGTAAAGGTTCTTCGGATCAGTATATCTTTAGGATACTTACCATTTTTGTTTCTTTAACTATATTTCTCTGTCAGATTTGAGATAGATACATGTATGTGCATTGTAATCCAGAGGCTGGCCCACATTGACTTGAGTTGATATTTTATCCATGTCTTGTCCACACTGATTGGCTTACTTTGCCTTGTGATATTTTGATGTAAGAATGTCATAGTCAATTCTCTTTTAATAATGATATTTTGACATAGTGAAGTCACAATCAATTCTCCCACCATGGTTGTTGTAGGTTAACCAATTATAGATGTTACACTGTATACAGGGAAATGTTCACCCTCATTTTTTTTTTGACCCCTTTGCCCTCGTCCCAAGTTGGCAAATTTAAAACGGGGAATTCAAAGAAAACAGCAGTATCTCTTAAACGAAACTAAATTCTCGGCAAATTTAAAATGGGGCAAAATTGTTTGCAAGTGTGAAATGGTGAAAATAACATAGGGCTAAAATATCCCTGTATACAGTATTGGTTAACCCACATTTACCCCAAGAACTGTGATGTGTGGACTGACTAATGCAATTGATTTTGATATGTGCAATATACAAAGGGCCCAAAGTCACATAAGTTTATGTATTCCGCATCCAAGTCCTTCCATATTTTCATTCTCAAGAGGGATTCATAGCGTTCATTTTCTCGGTACATACATTTGATTTCAACAATGAACATCTATTTATTATCCATTTTTCATGCTGATGGGTTCAATTTTACCTCAATTTTTTTTTAATTGAATAACTGTTGTATTGATCTTATTTTGCATTTTTTGCTCTAGCCTTTTCTGTAAAGTTATGAACAAAACATAAAATATTTGAATATAAATTACATTGTATTTATCAAAATTATACATTACTACTGAAATACACTATCATACAATTTGGATATTAGTCATTGTCGGGAATATACATTGTATTTTCAATTTTCATGGTGCTGAAGAAAAGAACACTGCATTATTTATCCTAGATCTGTTAAATGAACACGATCACTCACTGACAAAAACTAGAATGTAGGGCTGCTGTTTTGAGTATAGAATATGTCTTTCACTGTGCTGTTCATGTAGGTTTATTTACATTCTTTAACTATTGTGATCAGAAACTTTACATATAGTCATTATTGGTGCACTTCTTTTCTTTATAGTTTAAACAAGTTGTGTATTATAGATATATATTTATGAATTGATATAATGATCAATATTTTGTTGCAAGTATAAAAAAGATTTGCATACATTGTCTTTGTTGTTAATATTAATAAATTTTTCTTTAAATCATTTTCTGTATTAATTTTGTTCACTGCCTTTACATTTAAGGTTTAAAAACTTTCAGAGGAGGTATAGGTTGTCCTGCAAGTCAATGATGTAAAACTGTAATCAAACTTCCTACAAACTCTCAATTTTGTGCAAAAAATATTACGGAAGTCTTTTGGCTTTACAATGGTAAATTCAATTATATCAGAAAATATAATGTGCATCTTTCTTTTCGATGGTTTAATACACAGGATTTTTGACCGTTTTTCTGAAGTTTTCCACATTGAAATAAAATAAACTCTAGTATCTGCACTTACACTTTATCCCGGCACTCGGAATAAGTTGGAAAAACTTATTTTCAAAATTAAATTAAAACTTTTATACCGATACTTTCTTTAAAAAAAACTTTGTATGCCCAAAAATTCTTTGATGACAAAGGGATGGGGGGGGGGGGGGGGGGGGTTGTAAGATCTTTATTTATTCTATCTGTGATTGATAATGTTGAAGTATGATGTCATTTACAAACTATGATGTATAGAGACGTGTCAAGACAAGTCAAGAAAATAAAAAGATCCATCATAGTAGCGGTAGGAAGATACCCAGTAGAATCTCTAAATTGCAAACCATTCAAACATGGACTTCAGGGATAGTGTCAAAAATCCAATATTATTTTTTTTTTTAATTCAAATGACAACGAAGTTTGTTTCAAACATCTTTGATATTTTACCGCAATCACGCATGGTCCAAGTATCCACATCTGAACCTTATTCCGAGTTTTTATTACCATTTAAGCCTTGTTTTTTGATTTTGAAAGTGATATACAATGTTCAATTTTCACATCACCGTTTACACTAGAGCTACTGTAAGCGAGCTCACAAAATAAACCCCCGCTGCATTTTTTTTAAAAGTGCCTATTTGTAATATTTTGAAAGTGACCTTGAACTTGACAAAATGACTTTGGTTATAAAAGTGACACTTCCTCTGGTCATAAGTAATCTTTCGGTGAAATATAGACATCCAATGTTTCTCACTTAGATAATTATAGACCTGTCATGAATTTTACAATTGTTCTGCCATTGACCTTAAACTTGTCACAATGACCTTGGGTCAAGGTTATGACACACCCTCAGGTCATACAAAATCTTTGTACCAAGTATGAGCTTCTACATCCTCACAACGTCAGGGGTCGTGAGTCAACACGTTGCCATTGGACCCCTGACTAATTTCATTCGGTTATTTGGGCTTGCTTCTCCCATTGAGAAGCACCAATCAACTTGAAGTAGACAGATAATGTAAACAGAAAGGAATGAGTTGAGACCTAAACTGCACGTGTTATGCATTGTTTATCACCGAAAGGCTTAGTGTGATTGGTTGAGAGATAAGAAAAACAATTAAGATTTGTTATTTTCCAGAAAGACGTTGCTGCAATCAGCCCGCAAGATATCGAATGAAATTTGTCAGGGGTCCAACGGCAATGTGTTGACTCAGGATCCCTGACGTTGTAAGGATGTGTTGACTCAGAACCCCCGACGTTGTAAGGATGTGTTGACTCAGGACCCCCGACGTTGTAAGGATGTGTTGACTCAGGACCCCCGACGTTGTTAGGATGGAGCTTCTAATGAATCTCCATTACAAAGTTATAGCCCAGACAAGAATTTTACATTTCTCTGTCTTTGACCTTAAACTTGTCACAATGACCTTGGGTCAAGGTTATGACACACCCTCAGGTCATAAACAATCTGTGTACCAAGTATGAGCTTCTAATGATTCTTCATTACAAAGTTATAGCCCGAACAAGAGTTTTAGACCTAATGCCAGTGACCTTAAACTTGCCAGAATGACCTTGGCTAAACGTCTGACACACCGGTACCCTCTGCCGAAATAACCTTGGTGCAAGATCAGGACACATTCTCATGTTACAATCTTTTTACTTAGACTGAGCTTTCAATGATTCTCTATTACCAAATTATAACCTAGCTGGACAAGAATTTTACACTTTATCTGCTAGTGACCTTGAACTTGCAGGAATTACCTTGGGTCAAAGTTGTAACAAACCCTCAGGTCATAATCAATTATTGTACAAAGTATGGGCTTCCAATAATTCCCCACTACAAAGTTAGAGCCCGGACATATTTGCATGGACATACGGACAGCTAGACAGACGACAAGGTGATTCCTGTATGCATACCCCCCTTCCCACTTCTTTTGCAGAAAGGCGGTAGAATGAAGATGGGAAATGATTACTAGTATGCACGAAAAAGATGAACATTTTTGCCGACAGATAACCTGTATAAGTACCGAGAAACAGTTGGTGTATTATATAATATACTTGTACAATGTTTCTTCGCTCACATCTTTGATTACCTTGATGATAATGTACATCCCAAGGTCGCTTGCCGTTCTATCTACGATTCCTAAACTGGGAACCTGTGCGAAGTATGTTCAGTTATACAACCAAGATTGTAAGGATTAGTAGTTATCAATGATTATCTTTACTCGTGAATACTGTAACATTTCTGCTTAACATCAACCAGTAACAGGTGCTGATCTAGACAGATGCAGATGAAATTTACATGAAAGTACTTATTACTGTATAAGTTGTTACAGTTTATGTCCACAGGTCACACAGACCTGCCTGTTTTCAAAAATATATTTCAGGTTAAGGTTTTGATTAATGGAATGATGTACAAAAATATCTAAATATTCGTTTTTTTTTTAATAATTCTTTAAGTTAGTGTTCCTCAATTTTTCCATTCACTAATGCCTCTATTGTACAAAGTCCAAATCTTTGAGGGCATCTAGATGTTGCCACGTCATTTCCTGTTAATTCTCCATTCACTAAATACTCTTTGCCAACTTTTTCCTGGCACCACCCGATCAGTTCATCTGTTTTGGGAGTAGGAACTTCCATTAGAAGTGCAATCCCCTTGATGACCACTAACCCTGCTTCTAAGTCCTCAACCAGACGTCCAAAGTCCGGCACTAGACCACCGTCTACTTCTTTCATTGTGTGCCTGACGTCAGCAAATTGCTTATTGGTGGTGATAGTAGTGTACAAATCGGCATTGTTGCTAATGTCTCCCTTGAATCTTTCAATGCACCACTGATACAAATCTTGAACACCAGTCAAGTCAACTCTGACCTTCTCAGATGTTGTAATTGCTCGCGCCACATCCAAACATTCTTGGCTGCATGTATTTAATATTTCAGCAGTTTCTTTGCTCATTCCATGATAAAAGAGTGGTGTTTCGGAGACCGGTTTCCCATCCCATTTTCCCCATTGTCCGTAAATAATTACTGGACAAAAGAACGTATTGGGCATTAGTGTAACCTCTAGAAAATGTTTGGATGGACGAAATAGCGGCTTACTACCATGTATCATTTGTAGGCACATAAGAGGTGGTCGTCTGCAAATGCCTCTTCCGCGAACAATTGAGCCAACCAAAACCTGCATCGCACTGAGAGCTTCTACGTGATTTCCGAATTCTACAATTTTAGATGACCATGACGGTTCTTCAAAAGACAAGAAAGTACACAGATCAGCTTTGCTGCCTAATATATTGTAACATAAGTATTCGAATCCAGGTTTACCCGGTAGTCCCACGATGACGGTGTTCTTGCTTGCAAATGGTTCTATTGCTTGTAGATATTTACCATGGTCCATCGCTGACGTTGTAAGGATGATGAGGTCACATCCGTTGAGGGCTTCCTTTGGATTACTCGTCACCAGTCTTGGTTTAGCCTTCACTTCTCTCTTAGTTCCATTGTCTTCGTTAATGCTTAAAACCATCTCTTTCTTGTCGATGAGATTTTCCCATTTTTTGGCCTCTTCTTCGTTTAGGTCCAGAATGCGTGTTTCTGCGTCAGGATTTGAAGCAGAGAAGGCAGCCACAAGGTGAGCGTTGCTCCCACCTCCACAGACACATATCTTTAACGGTCCAGAAGGCATGATTCCGTAAATCTGGAAAAACAAGAGATTGATAAGTTTCTACTTGTGGAACAGTTCTTAACCACGATAATACGTTTCCTTCTTCATAGCGGCTGTCCATGTAGAATAAAATATTAATAAATTTAAATAACAAAAAATAACAAAGTTGGAGGGAAAACATCCCATGAACCATTACAAAGTATTTTGTTGATCCGAGTTGAAAAAAAATATGAGAGAAATTGAAAACGATGTTAAAAATTTAAACAAATATCAGTAGCATCTAGCATGCATTTGAACATTAATTGTCCCCTGCCTTGGGGAAAGCGTGGGAACATTGAATTTCATTTCATCTCTCTGTCACAAAAACTTGAGCCTTGGTCATAAACTTTGAATGAGAGAAGATGGGACGTTCATGTTTTACATGAGCATTACCTATGACAAGAGATTTCAAAGTATTTTATGATTTTTGACCTCTTGACCTGAAAGTTTGACCCACTTTTGAATTTTTGTTTGTCACAAAAAAAAAAAAACTGTAACATTGGTCAAAACTTTTGAATGAGTGAAGATGGGGCTTTCCCAGTATACTTTGATTTTTGAAATTATGACCTTCACCTTGAAGTTTGAAGTTCTTTTCAAATATTTTAATCTTGACCGTATATTTTGCACCGAAGAGACAAGGCTTTCATATTTTACACGTGCATTACCTGAATACCTGTGACAAGACCTTTCCGAGTGTACAATGAGTTTTTTACCTCATAACATGACTTTGCTGCGAGACCTACTTTTCAAAAAATTTACCCTTGACCGTAACTTTTGCAACTGAAGAGAGTTTTCATAATTTACTTGTGTACTACCTCAGATAAAACCTATAATTTATAATTTTTAGGAATGTCAAATCGGCCAATATTTGATAATCGGTTACTCTGACGATTTTCCGATCGAGTACCCGGTTACTCCTAAAAATGTAAATGCAACTTTATTTTATTGAGACTAGTTAAACCCTATTAACTTCAAACTTCAAGGTCATATAAAAGTAAATCCACGAAGGATGACGAGTAAAGTTATTTATTCTTCACTTTTATATGACCTTGAAGTTTGAACTTTTCAAAACCTCTAACCTTGGCCATAGTTTTTACACCAGGCTTTCATAATCTACACGTGCGTTGCCTGGAACAAGACCTTGCCAAATGTACTATGATTTTTTGCTACCTTGTGACCTTGACCTTGAATTTTGACCTTATTTTCAAAATTTTAACCTTGGTCGTAGTTTTTGCACCTGAAGAGACAGGACTTTTATATTTCATATGTGAATTACTTGCGACTAGACCGTTCAAATGTACTTTTTGATTCTTATACTCCTTAACCTGAACTTGAAGTTTTACCTTTGTTTCAAAGACAGGTACAATATGCCAAAAATCATTGCACCCAAACCAATAAGACTTAAAGCGGGAGACCACAATTCTCTAAATTTGCTTCTTTTCATTTGAAATTAGCCTTTAGCAATAAAGAAATAGCAACCCGTGTACAGAAATGAAGTGTAAAACACTTGTATCCTTTCCCGTTGTTCGAAGTGAACAAACTGAGTATAAACATTTCTATAATCACCCCCATCTTTGCCCGAGCTTGTACATTGTTTTTTATATTTCTTTCAAATCACAATGTAAGATTACTGGCGCAGATATTTTGAAGCCGAAGTTGGCAACCACTTACTTCAGAAACAAAGCAATAATGTGTCTAAAGCATTGTATTTTTGTAACAATCACGAAGTTTAAGGATGTCTGAGGCCTTTGGTGGCACCCCCTCAAAGATAGTTCAATAAGTACGTTAGTCAGTATATGTATACATTTATTACAGTCAAAGGCTGGCCACTTCTGAAAGCTAGTATATATGTTTATAAAAGAACAGACATTTCCATCATATAATAGGAATGTTGATGCAAACGTTTTGCATGGCATCAGCAGATGCCAAGCAATGAAAAATGCTTCTCCCAATTTTCTCATTCTAATTTGATTATACGTCAACTGCTCTGACGTCAAATATAAGATCTACAAAACGCTAATTGCAACTCAGATACTGTAGGAGGCTATAATGACAGAAATATAGCTATAAGAAAGCAAGAGATTGGTTGTCTGTCAGTTGTGACGAAATTCTCGCTTCAATGTCATTTCTAATTTGGTCTCTAGAAGGTATAAAATTTCTAGATTAATTCCAATTTTAAGAATGATTGTAAATTTCTCTACATTTTTTCTCAAGCTGCCAAGGAAGCATGTATTACTTCCAAGAAAACTATAATCTTTAAAACTCTTAAAGGAAACAATTCGTATTGGTCAGATTAGTCCTTTTGGCTCAACTCATTATATGCTACTACATAATCAAAATATACTGGTCACTTACCTGTAAGGGAAAAAAAATATCCAACAAGAGTGGCACCCACACGGTGGCTACTGAAACAACACGGCGCGCGCACGTGCAGAAATTGGATCTCCACTGTAGATAGTAATATAATTTATCCTATTCAGTTCCCTGCATGACAATATAAGCGTGCCGTGGTTATTACATTTGTTTTCACTTTTCCAGGCTCATCATACAGCTACTTTGAATGCCTTGCTATATATACCAGAAGTCTGTCAATAATAATCAACTGTTGTTTTTTCCACAGTGTATGAGCCAACACATATGCTCTCCAATGAAACGCGATGTCTTTCAACTTTTGCATTCTTCTTTAACAAGGCTTGGTATTCTATACCACTTCAGGGTCAATGGTTATGAAATCATTGTTTTTTCTACCATTCGTTTTTGTTTCCTGTTTATTTTTGTAGTGTACCGGAGATGCCTTTTCGCTGCATATTGGAATTAACATAGCGAGAAGTTGAAATCTATTTGTTTGAATTTCAAGTACCTCAGATATATTAATTAAGAAAGTTAGACAGAAATATGCATTCGTATTTATAACAAACATTAAAGGAGGTAAAATACATGTGCATGCATGGCATTAGAAGAAAAATGCAAATGTGTACATATACCCCCCCCCCTTTTGAAAAATGATGTTAATTTTAGAAGCCTGACCCCCCCACCCCCCAGTCTGAACTCCTGTGTTAAGACTGGAAATCATATAATACGATAAAGTTTGTTAATATTTAAGTCCTTATTAACTTAAAGGGGCTATAATCAATAATGCTAGAATACATTCATAAAAAACTAAACGCTCATATAATTAAAATAAAAATGAAATCAATGTTAATGTACTATTTTACCATTACAATGCATACTGGTAAATAGTTGTATATATATGACAAGGGTGGGGCACAATGTTTCTTAGGGCATATCCATACCCCGAATCCTGTCAAGTGCTCCAAGGTGCATCGAATTCAAGTACCCCCCCCCCCTTTTATTGGAAGAGTTTAATCTATTTAGTTTGTTAAACTCCTTTATATTAAAATAACACGGAAAACAAAGCATTCAGATCGACGTGCATGGAATATGCATGTAAAGATACTGCTAGAGCATCATTTAGAAAAATAAGATGCGATTGCTATGCGTCATTAGGTAAATTTTTTAACGTAGATAAGATCGGTTCAAACGACCAAATTGGATTTTGTATCTCTGTGGTTTTGCCGGGTATGATGGTGCAGTCATATGTTTCACTTTTACTGCCCTTTGCCATTGATTTTGTGATAAGATAGCAATTTGATTGACACATTTTCGCTCAGAAGTGTCTAACTCCCTGATCTATTTTAAGTGACATACACAATATCGAAGTGTTTATAAATACAAAAAAACTTTCATCCTGTTTCAATTTGCTTAACATACTCTTGTCTGTGAAGGAGTTTTAAAAAATATGGATGACACCAATGATACTACTAAGTTACCACCAATTACGGATTTTTTCCATTCGAGGGCAACTCCTTGCCCATACCCCCTTTACTTGCCAAGCGCGCCCCAGAGCGCGCGGGGGGAAGAGCGCATACGACGCCCAATGAACGCCTTTATGGTCTGGGCAAAAACGGAGAGGAAGAAATTGGCTGCGGAAAACCCCGAAGTTCACAATGCTGATCTCAGTAAAATGCTGGGTAAGTGGCTGCATGAGTTCTAAATCATACAGGAAGAAAGGTAATCATTGAAAAACAGACTATTTCAGATGTCTGATCATTTTCTAATTGGGAGGCAGAGTTTAAATTCTTCTCTGAGTTTGTAGTAAATTCTGTTATCTTTTATTTTTGTTTTTGATGCGGTACAGCAATATACATGTATGTGTCAAGTAGACATCTCCATGTAGACCGGTTTCAAATCTATTTTTTCTTAATGTTCAATACTTTTTTATAATATCTACGTCTTTCCTCTTAGATTGAATTTGTTGTATTATTCAGAAATACACTGAAAATTACAAATTAGTTACTAATTAAAATTAAAGCAATAAAATGTTTTCTTCACGATAGTAAAAGTATACATGATTACATCATAGAAAAAGAGCTTTTATGAACATAGTTACGAGTAGATGTAATAAATTTTAATCAGTAAAGATCTACCTGCAACAATATTTATAATGGCAATACATTGCAATACACTTTGTCGTTGTGGCGTTCTTTCTAAACATTGAAATTTTTGATTTTTTTTTCCCTCTGAGTGAATCCTGTTATATATATAATATGTTCAGAGGCTTTAGATATTTACATGGTGTTTTTGTGTTTTTTGTGTGAGGTGGTTAAAATTTGCGTCATTATTTTAATTTGCCTCATATATGGTAATATGCTGATATATAATAAAAAGTTTAGTTACGTGTAGCATCAAAATAAATCAAAACAAGCGATATATATATATATATATATATATATATATATATATATATATATATATATATATATATATATATATATATATATATATATATATATATATATATAGGAATGGCAATCCAATACAGAATTAATTGCTAATCGGTTAACTGCAAGACGTTCCTACGGATTAACCAGTTAAAACTCTATTTATAGATACGATGACTAAAATCGTTTATAGGAATTTCTCAGTAGACATGATGAAATAAAGGAAACCATGAAACATGCCTGAGAAATCAGACATTGATAAGTTTCCATAGGTGATGACACAGGTGTTTATTCTGCACTGTCCCCATAATCTAGGTGCAATCTAATTTACATCTAGGTGCAAATTAACTTTTACATATGAGTAAATTAACTCCTGGTGTATTAATTTTCAGTCATGCAAACGCGTAGCAAAATTTTCACGAGGATAGTAATATTGAAATTGTCTAGAAAATAGAGCATCATCGATTTCATTAAAAAATGCCTCTTTTTACATAAGAGAGAACAGTGACCATCTGTTGTATTATTTAAAAGTCCAATAATTATTTTAAGTTGCATTTAAACAAGAAATGGCAACATTCTATTTTGTGCATGGGAGAAACACTGCGGTGAAGAGCGATTAGAAAGCTTTGAAATTGCAAACTTCGTACTGATATACATACAGTTTGAGAGTGTCTGTGAAAAATTACATTTACACAAGAGTTGAAAAATTACGTTTACAGACCAAGAGTAAAATTTGTATACATGTAAAATTTACATCTGTAAGTGAATGGGTTTAAATCTGAAGTATCACTTAATTTACAATGTTTGTCGACATGATGTTTAAACAGGGGGGAGGGGGCAACTTTGCAAAAAAGTATCCAAAAGTAAGGACCCCCTCCCACGAAATAGGATTCTCGAGTTTGGACATTTATTTTTTTTTTTATTTATTTATTTGTTATTTTTTTTGCTTGTCAGATTAATGGGAGTCCCCCCTCCCATTTTTTCATTTTTGAACTGATTGTTGTTGCTGTTGTTTTTTTTTTGGGGGGGGGGGGCTTGTCATATTTTTTGGGGAGGTTGCACCCCCCCCTTTTTAAACTCGTTGCTATGTGCTTGCATGCAAAGAACCTTGAATCATAGAAATCACAGGAATAATTTGCTTTTAACTATTATGTTGATTAATCGGTTATCAAAATTATAATCGATTGTCTATAATCGGTGTCATTTCGACTAGGAAATCGATTCAATCGATTAATCGGCGCACTACTGCTTATAAGTGAAAAATCCTTAATCCACCTAGTCAAATGCAATATTTCTTACGTCTTTTTTTCTTTCTGTTAAAGCAACTATAAATGTTTGTATGTTTTGCTTAATGTGAAACACAGCTATATTTTTCATCTTGCACATTTCTGTGTTAATTGCGTAACTTAGGTAAATACTTTCATAACGTAACAAACCTCATAATATTATTACAATTCAGATTACTAACATAAACATATATAGGTTGGTTTACTTTGTAGGTCAGAAATGGCGATCTCTAAGTCCATCACAAAAGAAATACTACAACGAACAAGCTGACAAATTACGGGAGCTACACATGAAAAAATATCCAAACTACAAGTATCGTCCGCGCCGGAAAAAGACCAAGTTCAGGGGTTCTCTAGACGATCTGTCTTTGTCTAATATACATGTAAGCAAACAAGTGGAAATTGAATGTGTGTCAAAATCTACCAACTTAACGCCACCTGCAAGTCCTGAAGTGTCACAAAGAGACGCACCGCCCTTTTTGATTTCTCAAATCAACTATGCTGCAGAGCAAGTGGGGTCCGGATTTGACCACACAAGCATACAACCATCCACGATTTGTCTTGGGTTTCCGGACACTCCGCCCTATCAGAACAATTTTCAAGGCTTTGTCTTCCCTATGGGGTCTCAAGACGCTCAGGCAGAAGTTCGCATGTACTCAGACGAACAATGTTTGACCTACTGGTCAGAAGCTGGAACTGTGTTGTCGGGGGTTCAGGAAACCGAGCCAAAAACCCAGCCTCCTCAGCTAAACGACTACGTATTATCATCTCAAGAGCTAAGGGACGTGTCCGAGATTGACAGTACTGAGTTCGATCAGTATCTAAAGACGGACCAAAACAAATGTAAGAATGGCTGAAACTCACAAAACAATGTAGACAAGTCCATGAGGTCTTTGCTAGACATTCAACTTCCTTTGCAATGTGACATTTTTCTTGTCTTTTTGTGCAAATCTTCTGTTTGCCAGCTCTTAAAACTAGAGATTACAAAATATTAATATTTGAATCACGATAATTACAGAGTATTAACTGCATAATATCTAATACATCTCATTAATCAGGTTGAAGAAATTGATAATTACTTCAAATAATGTTTATTGCTTGATACTGCTTTATTGTCGCGTAATAAAAGTTCACTTTTTCGGGTGTGGAAATGCATGCAGGATTTTTTTTTCATCTTGTATTACACTTATGAAGTTAACAAACGTGTTTTGATCATTTACTCAGTTGCATCATCAAATAAAATGCATATTTTTAATAACTTCCTGGATTTTTTAAAAAGTGACATAATGTTTAATAATAGTAAATTGGCATATAATGAATGACAAACACAAATTAAAGGGTCAATATCAATTAACACAGCAGTCAAACATTTATCGCTGGATCACAGATAAGCCTAGGTGTGAACTTCATCCACGTGGTCACTGTTTAGTGAGAGTGTTTAAATTGTTGTGTTATCATTCATCGTTGTCAAACTTCGGAAAGGGAAAATTTTTCTTGTCCCAGATAATATAAGCTTACAAGTAACAATTGTAATTTATAATGTTCAACTGTTTCGAAAATAATGCTAGTGTGTGTCCATGCAGCTGACATTTAACCGTTGAAAAAGCTACGGTCATTTCAAATGCGCATGCATTTTTTCCCCTTCCTTATCTTCTCCAATTGTTTAAATTTGATCTCTGATATAGGTACCAATTACAATGTAATTCAGTTGAACAGAAAGATTTTTTTCGTTAAACACTAATCTTTTCATGGTTAAGCTAGATCATGAAATTAAGTGATCATGGAACTACGAAGTTTAGTAATTGTAGAGTAGGGTGAGGTAAGTTGTCTCGATCGGTGGAATAGCACGAAATTTGATACCCACGAAATTTAATAACAACACCAGTAATGGTTCAAATCGGGAAATTATCAGTATTTTTATCCCCTCGCAACAGAGTTGGAGGGGATATAGTAACGCGCCTGTTCAATTTATTACTTCCCCGTCTTTTTTATAATATTATTTCAAATAACTGATTTTTATAATCACTTTAAAACAAAGAAGTTTGAAATGTAACTCCAACTCAAATTGAAAAATTGTAAACAAACTAAGTGCATGGCTCTGATAAGCAAGGATGGCTCTCCCAAAATTGTGAAATTCATGGCCCCAGGGTCGGGAGTTCTGGGAAAGGGGGAGGGGCTCTATTGATTATACAGTGAAAATGCAGAATTTCTTTGAAAATATTCTTCTCAGTTCCTACTTATAAAGCAAATAAACTAAGTGTATAGTTATGATTAACAAGGGTGCTTCTTCCAGTTTCGTGACCTCTGGTAAGATCTTCTGGTGTAATGGTGGGGCTCTATTGATAATATAATAAAAATGCACCAATTCTATTAAATAATCTTGTCTGCTTCTGGGTATTGAGCAGAGAAACAAAGTACATAGTTATGATGAGCAAGGGTGCTTCTTCCATAAATTTTAAAACTTGCAGCCCCAGGGTCAGAGATTCTGGTTGTTCCGGGAGGGGGTCGGGGTTGGGGGCTCTATTGATAATATAGGGAAAATGTGTTAATTCTTTGAAAATCTTCAAATTAATGCATAGTTATGATGAGTGAGAGTACCTCTCCGTGAATTTCATGACCCCGGTTCATGGGTTCTGGTGTTAGGGTCTGTATCTATATTGAAAATGTATTATTTCTTTGAAAATCTTCTTTGTTCCCGGGCATCTCGGAGGCAGAGTAAAAGTTTTAATGAGCAAGGGTATTTTTACCAGATTTTTGATATTCTGGACCATTTTGTCAAGTGTTCTGGTACCAGCCAGGGCTCTATTAATTTGCATTCTACTGAAATAAGTTATTCCCCTTTGCCATTCACCTTTGATAATTAATCAATGTAAATAATTGATAGATTAATAGAATAAGAAAATTATGCAAGAACTTTCATTGTATAATAAAAAAAAGTACATTCATTGTTTTAATGATCAGGAAGACTTGTAGATAATAGATAAATAAAAATGAGACAAAAATTATTCATCTCATTAAATGTTCTTTAAAGACCAAGAGAGGCCAATGTGAGAGATAAAAATATGAAGTTAAATATAGTATTGAAGCACTATTGTTTTGTTAATAGTCTGCTTGGTGATAGTGATAAATGGGGGCAAGTAGAACTCGTGAGTACAAGCCTAAGTATTTAGTTGATCCTGATCATCCTATTTCTCTCGCATTTGGGAAACAAAGCTGTATATATGGGTTTATTTTATACATCTATGAATTCCTATAAATTGTTGTATTATACTCAAGTGACCGTTAAGGCCCTTGGGCCTCTTGTTTTGCAGAGCTACAGTTCTGCAGTTAGGCCCCAAGGCTCAATTGGTTCATAGAGTAAAAATGCATTATTCTCTGCCCCTGGGTATTCAGCAGACAAACAGAGTGCATGGTTATGATGAGCAAGGTGCTTTTTCAAAATTGTGAAATTCACTGCCCCTGGGTCAGGGGTTCTGGTGTTTAGGTGGGGCTCTATTGATCATAGAGTGAAAATGCATTAATTGAATTCTGAGAAAAATCTTCTCTGCTCCTGGTTATTGAGCAAAGAAACTAAATGCATGATTAAAATGAGCAAGGTGCCTCTTCCAAAATCAGAAATTCGTTGCTCTTGGGTCAGGGGTAGGGTTGTATTGATCATAGAATGAATTTATTGAAATTCTTTGAAAATCATCTAATCTTCACAAAATTGTAATGAGCAAGAATGTTTTAATTAGATTTGTGAAATTCTGGACGACTAGGTTGAGGGTTTTAGTGCTGGTCAGTGCTCTGTTAATTTGTACTCTACTCTGAGAAAAGTTATTTCCCTTCGTTATTCACCTATGATAAATAATCACTATAAGTAATGTAATCGATATAATTGAACTATTGATAGGTCAATCGAATAAAAGAATCATAGAAGATTTTATTGCATGATCTAAAAAGTACTTTCATAGTTTTTAATGGTTAAGTACTCATGTCGACTTGTAAATAAATAAAAAAAATGAAACAAAAATACTTTTATTTTTACATTAAATGTTATTCAAAGACAAAGAGAAGCCAGTGTTATAGCGTTTTTATGTGTTATGTTGATAGTTCACCTGAGTCAAAGACTACAATTTAATCTTCTTCAGAACCACTCACAGGGACGGTAACATACTATTCCTGATTTTACGTGAACACTATGAGTGTATATACAAAAGTATGCCATTAAATGCTAAGTTTTTTGTTTTATTCCCTTAAAATGGAATAAAGGTGAAATCAGTATCCGCCTCGATCATGACTTGACCAAGTTTGAGAAATAAAGTACAACAAACTCATCTAGAGAGGATTTCCCTGAGACCAATATAAACAACATAATACATGTATATAGTTAAAAGTAGTATGGACACATTACTCATATCTGATTTAGGCTCCTTGGTTTCATTCTATTTTTTGATTTGTCCATTCAATGAAATGTATAAGTAAACAGCCTTCTTTAAAAATTAAACTATTTTCAATAGTTTTATGCAAAAGGTAAAAAAAAAACAGTTCTGTATTTAGATAATTTATACTTTTATTTCTTTGCAACAAAAAAAAAAATCCTGATCTGAAAAGTGGGACCTGCCCCAAAACAGTAATATCAAAACAATATTAAGCAATACTGTATACAGGGTGGTTTTTGCCCCATGTAATTTCTGCCCTGTCACACTTGGAAACAACTTTGCCCCATTTCAAATTATCCTACTTGTGACAAGGGCGAAAATAAAAGAGGGACAAAATTTCCCTGTATACAGTAAAAATAATAAGTAAAATCACAGACTGAAATAAAATAAGTATTATAAATAATTTGAAGGACAAGATAGGCTAAGACCCCTTCTTGGCCCCAGGTTTGGAGTGTCTCTAAGAATGATGCAATAGTTCATAATCAAAATACATGTACCTGTTGTCATCCCTGTTACAAAATGAACATTAATTCTAGTTTATGGGATGCACAATGGTCACAAAATATGTCAATTTTGGAATTTTCTCATTTTTATACAAATTTTTCAATTTTAAAGAACACTTTTTGTCAGAAAACATAGAGCACATGCTTGCCTATCTACCATATTTATATATTTCATATACTAGTATCAGATGCATCTTCTGTATAAAAATCACAGATAGGCAAGTTTTTGCTCTATGTTTCACAAAGTGAAAAGTATCTAAAATTTAACAAAATTCAATCAGAATTGAGGATATTCAGTAAAATGTCCTTCTTTGGGATTATTTTGTCATTTAGAGTTCTGAACTGTAAACTATCACAATCTCAACTGTGTTTTGATTTTTATATCAAAAAAGGGGCCAAATTTGACCGCTAACGTACCTTGTCCTTTGAATACAGATAACAACTTTCACACACACACACAAAAAACTCAATGCTTTTCTAATAAACAATCACGTTACTAAAGGATAAAAAAATTGTACATTCATTGACATAAACATTTACTGTTAATGGTATATAAATATAAAATATATGCTTTGAAAATACTTTGGTATGTGTAAGCAAAACATTTCAAATGTTGATACTCTAACATAGAGAAGCTCCAAGTGGAATTACAAATATTGAAATACAATAGTACAATCAATTACAAAAAAAATCTTTTGAGGAGAATATGTTAAAAAAGAGAGGTACTATATGCACATAGATAAAACAAAAATGTTCTGATTGCAAATTCTCCTGGACGGAATGCATAATCTTCACTTGATGGGTTCAACTATCTAACAAAATCTGAAAAAAATCCTCTAAAATTAACTTGTATGATAGACAAGAACAAAAAAGAAGAAAGTTTAAAAGTAAAACATTTCAAATTAAATTACTTTATGAAAAATATCTCTTTGCTTTTATGAATAAGCATTTTAATAATGTGGCATTTTCCTCTGTGTTGAGGCATCATGATCCATTTCTTTATAGAAAATTGTACCTTACATCTAATAATTCAACTAATTCATGATGCTCAATAAAACAAAATAACTCTGTAACTATTCAAGAAGATGTTTCAGTAATTACTTAGACAATAGCTGAAACTAACCCGCAGGTTTTCCTACAGAAGATGGTTGTGTAGTTGTATATCCGGTCTCCATAACCATCGGTTCCATTGCGACACCCACTGGTCATGTTTGACCACACACTGCAGGCAAAATCTGAGCTCAGATCATAACAAGCTGTTAAAAATCAATAAAATAATAATCAAGTTCTTATAACTCATTGCAAACATTACTGAGTATACAGTAAAACATGCTTATAATAAAGTGTCAGGGACAGACAATTTTGCTTTGTTATAAACGTAATTTGTTATATCCGGTAAGTTTAAAATGTATTTTAAAGTCACTGAGAATGAAAATCACTTCACTGTAAGCATCAATTCATTATAACCATGTTAGCTATAAGTGTGTTTTACTGTAAATTGATAAACTTTGTCTACAGAATACAGAAATACTGGAAGAGTCAAGGAAAGGCAAATAAAACAAATGACCCATGGCCCACAGTGCTCACCTAGGTCACCATACTCTTCCTGATGAATGAATATTTGCATATTAGATAAAAAAGGCCTCTTATAGTTGTTTCCAAATTGAAGTTCATGATTTTAACAATTTTTCATGTACATTATATATATAAGCTTGACACCAACTTTATTCAGTCCCTTGAGGTCATTATTTGAACAAGCATGGATCATGAACATGGATCTAAATTGCATGAAGATGCTTGCACTGATTTGTACAAACTTGAATCTACACTCATGGAAGACGCAGTCACATACATTTAGTCTTTTCTGGCACAGTGATTCTTGAAAAGATTTTTAAACAACCCATCCAATTTCCCTTATTTATTTTTTTATCTGTTATTGCAAATAGTTGTGCCCCTATTGGAATAATCTTAAATCCCCCCTCATCCTATGATGGTTTGTGGCAAGTTTGGTTGAAATTGGTTCTGCACTTTTGGAAAAAAAGACCAAAGCAATAAAAATTTACAAACATACAGCCTGACAATTGTCAATCACAAAAGCTCAGTAAGCCTATGCTCAGGTGAATTAAACATAACAATAATTCAGAATGAATGCTCCTAGTGATAAATTTTTGAATGAACCAAAGTGTATCTTCACCTGTTGGAGCCAGAGTTGTCAATGGTACAGAGGAATTACAACTAAGTGTTGGACAGCAGTCTGGGAAACTTAAAGCTGAATTGGATGTTTCAAAACAATTGTCACTATCTGGATTTTCTCCGGTCTTCAGGGAGGGGCAACTGAAATTTAAAAAATATAGGTATTGTTTTATATTGAAATGGCCACTGAACCTTATATAATATTGAATCAGAGAATCTATGTCTTATTATTTCCTTCCAGAGAAAGTACATTTGTTTCATAAAATATACCTGTATTTTATAACAAATTTCTTCAGTGTTCCATGCCAACATTTATTCTTATCACAGGAACCAGTTGAGGTAGGCCATGTTGCTTCATGACCAACAACTGCACCATTGTTATCAGTACAATCTACAAAAAAGAGAATAGTACATCAATTTCCCTGATAGTTCTGATTATAATACATAGAATACTAGGGATGCGCAATTTTATCAGTATACTGGTATATCACAATTTTCACTGCGTGATACGGAGACTAAAATACCGGTATTTGGTACATATCTATAAATTCCGGAAATTAATCATTTATTTGTTCAAACTATTGAATGACAATTATAAATAGTGTAAAAAAGGTTGAAAACAGTTAAACAACACCATCAAAATATGCTTTTTATTAAATAAATGAAAATTTAAAGAGTAAAGTTATGTTTTTATAGCATATTTTAAAGAAATGTTATGGAAATTCATTTGAAATTGTAGTAAAAATTGTGTGTAAAAATATCACGATTTATCGTGATATTTTTGGGAAAAAATCGTGATATATCACGATACGAAATTTTTGCCGATACCTATCCCTATAGAATACCCTTAAGTAAACACATGGCTGGGTTACCCACGGAAGTGTGTGTGTGGAGGGGGTTGAAGGAGACAAAAAAAATGAATTAATTATTTGTAAAAATATGAAACTTCGGGACAATGAATGGGCTGAAAAGATAAGGGTGGTAGTCTGAATAATATGTGTCTCAGGTCCGTAGAACAATATCATTTTAATGATAGAACGTTCTATCTGTAAGGGTGTACCACATGGCCTCATCTGTTTATCTGTTTTCCCATTTTTTAACCACCCATACACTATATTTTATAGTGATGGGGTGGTCTAAAAATAGACAAATATGCAGACCAAGACGAGCCCGGTCCTGTGGGTGGATGAAAGAGTTTAGATTAAGAAATTTCTCCTACCAGCCATCCTAAAAGAATAATACGATATATCATATACTATTTTATATGAAATACACAAACAATATGAAATTGCTGCCAATGTGTAGGTACAATAAAAAACATAGCAGCACGTACACGCACCACAGCACTCATATTCATAACATAGTGCATATAGTGATTATAAACATTCGGTATTAAACGGTCAATTTACAGCTGGTTTATACCTGATGTAAGAGGCATGGATTGTTTTATAGCAATCGTTGGTTTTGAAGTGCAGATAAAATCACAATGAAGAAGGAAAAAGAATAAAAGGGCAACAGAAACGCCACAAAAAAGTTGCAATTGGCCCCCGCTTGCCGCCATATTGTTTACCCCCAGTTATTTAACTGGTTCCCTATTACGTTTTCCGCTTACATAAAGAACCAGTTTATAGCCCAGAGCTTTCTGTTGATAGTAGACCGAGTAGTCTGAGTAGACAGACTCACAGAGTAGTGTCTGTGTCGTTGTTTACAAGGTATGCAATTGCTTATTATTATATATAATAATACATGAAAATCATATTTGAGAACGTCATCTAACACTTTTTTGCGAAAGTTAAGTTTGTGTCATTTCAATGATTGAGCTATTTTGTCCACCTCAGCAAGGTCTTCATTCCATAACAAAATATATCTTTGGTCTGAGAATTACTGTTGTCATTGCAGATTTATCACCAGCCATGAATAACAGCAGTCTTATACAAGAACTGGATTGTGTCCACAAAGACTTTCCTGTGTCATCTGCTTTGTTTTTAGGTAAGGTAGTATAAGAAGGAGGAGGTACGTATAAATGGTGACTATATTATTCATGCCAGCCATGGCTGCATGTATTTCTTGAGGTGAATGTCCAAAACTCATTGAAAAGATAAATTGCATTTCTTAAGTTCAAGCGGGGCCATTGCACTTATATCAAAAGCCTTATACTAGATAAGATTTATCTTTTTGTGATTTTATAGGGCTTATTTAGCTCACGAACAGTCAGAAATATAAATATTTAGATATACACTGTAACACATTTATTATATATTTGTTATATAATGCAGGATTTTTGCATCCCTGATATGAACACAGGCATGCACCCTGTATTATACACCCTTTATCTCACCCTTTGTTGTATCTTTCTGGAACATCTCTGTATTTTTCATTCGGAGTACCTCAAATCTTTTTCTTTTTGTTTATGAAGTTTAATATTTAAATTGTAATTTAAATTTATTTCATCAGACATTCTATCATGTTATTCTGATCAAAACTAGTTGTTTAGTTTATAACTATTTCATTTCTTATGGCTAAATGCACGACCTTTGGAAAAAAGTAATAATGAGAAATGGAAATTCAACAAAAACAGAACACATTCAATTATTAAAAATTCAGTACAAGTTTATGATATTAAATTAATTCAGTACCACCTTGGCTTCTTTGATATGTTGTTGAGTATGAACTATGAAGGAACACCATAAGGGATTTAATCTATCATGGTGAATATGAAAAAAATGTCTATGAACAGCATTTGATGATGTCTAAAACATTCCTTAAAGTGAAAACCATTCTTATTCATTTCTTTCTCATTATGACATTACATATGATAAGGTTGATTTCTATCTGACAAGGCTCATGTATTATTACAAAATTAAATGACTGCAAACAAAAATCCATGTTTTGTATGACTGCACAAAGAGTAAGCTTCACCTAAGGCCTTTTTTGGCCCTGATCAGAACTGCTCAATTTTAGTTGACAATGCATCAACTATCACTTGAACCCTTGGTGACTGCGTATCTAATTTTCTCACTAGCCAATGCATTATGATGTCATGAATTGCATCATTATACCCAAATTCCTTCAGAATTGGTAAAAAATTTAAGCTATTTTTCAGTATTTTGTATCCAGCACAGCCACAAATCCAAAATGTGCAGGTATATAATGATAGAACTGTTTCTGAAGATTATAAAACATATTTATTTTTTTGGATTGAGGGGTGTGCTCTTATTTTTGTTCTTTGCTGAAGGTATGCAAATATACATGTTTTCAGCAAAATGCAAGAACATTGCAATTTCACACAGCTCATTTTATAATATCTTTACTCTCAAAGGAAACTTTATTATAGGAAATAAAAGCACCAAGTCTCTATTTCATATTGATGATTGGAATAGGACATAGGATGTTAGTTAATGGACAGGGCTATTTTATGCATAAAGTGAACCTAGCTCTTTATTATTGTCAGTGACAATTTATAGACATTTATCCAAATATTAAGCATACAGTTTAGCATGGCCCATATCAAATAGATGGAAAACATGTTTGAATGGATATTGGAATTTAACCTTTAGCATGATTAGCTTTTGAGATACTCATAAATAGGACAGTTGATAATCCACTGTAATGCCTTTATTAATTTTAGAATGAATAATTTTCTGTAACTTTACAGTGGTTTGGTGATTGAAATGTGACTAGGCTGTTTCAATGTTCACAGAGTTAAAAATTATTTCTACAGAGTTGGAGAGGCAGCCTGCCATTTTAGGTCTAACCATCACTGCAGCAGTTGTATGTATAACAACAGTGATCCTGTACTTTGAGACATTCCACTTTATTCATGGTCATAACCATCTAGAAGGAATAAAAATCAACAAACACAAAACTCTCATCATGTTGGGACTCTACCCGGTAAGGAATGCTTTCCTTTTTGGAGAATAATTATATAGGCATATACAAGCTGATCTATCTATAGCTTTGTTTGCTTGCACTAGTTTCTGGAAAAACAACTATGCATTTGTGTATTGTAAAAACAGTCTTAACCAACATGCAGTGGAACACAAATTTTGTGGTGGAATACTCTGAATAGATGGGGTATTGGACTGCACAGTGTAAAGAACATGGAAAATAGTAAAAGAAAAGGTCAGAATTCACATTGAAACGGATTGCACAGGTGTTGGATTAAACTGTTTTTACTGTACAAATGCATAAATCCATTCTGTTGATGGGTGTTTAAACATAAAGTACCTATATTTACAACAGTATTAGAGCCTGAATGTTGATTCATCCATTGTAGAGACCTTTGTGACTTTGTTGTATTGAATACTTTTCAGTTGGTCTCTTGTGCTTGTATGCTGTCACTTGTATTGCCACGTACAACAATGATTGCAGAGCTTATGATTGCTATGTAAGTTTGTCAGGGAATGATTGGTTTAATTTTAATATTTAGCAGAACTTTCTTGTACATACAGATGAATTTTAAACAAAATATATTAATCAAGTTTCAAAAGTTTAAAATTTAAAAGTATTTCAAAATGATGTCATTAATTTTATTTCCTACAAACAAGCTTACAATATTCAGAGAAGTGTTTGTTTAAAATTATGATTTCAAAAGTCAATTATTCAAAATAATTAATACTAACAGTATATTTATATGTAAAGATATTATAGAGTGCAACATTGAACGCCAATCTACAACCAAAAATAGGCTGCTTTGCAAGCTTTGCTTATCTTAACTCTAATTGCAGGTGTTACTTTATAGAAATTCTAAAAAAAATTATACTTTAGCTACTAAATTTCTTTCTATCGTTTGCAAATAATTTTCAAATACAGTACATGTATAGTTAGTTGCATATTTACCCAGAAGCTTCATGATACCTGGCAGTAATTTCAAAACTCCCTAGGCTAGCAAGTAGAGTGTGGTATGAAACTACTGACCAGATATTGACCATAGCCACATATTCCTGCTTATATTAGTTTTGAGTATGTCACTCACACTCATGAGTGTTATACCATATATTACTTTGCATCACAAAAACAGCTAACAAGATGATTTTAACCTTGTGTTAGATATAGATGGTAACCTTGTATTAGATATATACACCATCTTCATGTTATTATTGGTAATCAATCACAATCAGTGAATTCACCTCAAACTAATTGGTGATGGGGTAGATGTTTTATTGTGCATGAGCATGTTCATATTCAACTACATTGTAAATTTGTATTGGTAAGTACCGTTTTAACCTTTCTACACAGGAATGATTTCATGTGGGTGGTTCAGCTGATTCAGTGTAGCCATTTTTAGTTCACATGTGTAGTTAACATAACACTCAGACATTGATAATCTTTGCATGTACATAATGGACCACAAACATTATGTAGCTAACATTTGATACATGAATGAAATGTGAGCTAGCTTAGCTGAGTTTGATTGTTAAGTCTATCTGAACCCCTGTTGTGGGCCCCTGTTGTAGGTACATGGCTCTGTGTATTGTGATGTTTGTGAGAATGGTAGTGGACTACATGGGAGGGTTTAAGGCTGTGTGTAAGGAGATGGAGGGGGAACAGATGTCCTTCAGAACTCCACCCTGCTGCTGCTGCTGTTGTTGTCCAGGGGTATACAAGCAGAAAGTAACCAGGTCAGAAAAAAAAATTATATCCAGGGGAGATAAGAAATAAAGATGAAATAGAATAAATATTATATAAAATCAGTGAATTCTCAATAGAAGCAATTCCAGCATAATTCACACTAAGTACTGTATGATATTTATATCAATGTGCATGAATTATGTGTGATTATTTGTGAATATAATTAAATACAGGAGCAACCTAAGGAAAGTGAACCTGATGACCTTGCAGGCAGCCATAATTCGACCAGTCATAACAGTTTTAGCAATAATTCTGTGGGCTGATGAACGCTACATTTTGGGAGAGGATGTAAGTTATGAAAATGCATTTGAAATTCAACCAGAAGTAGTTGTGTTATCAGGGTTGTACCTAAGAATTGAAATACATGTAGTAGAGGACATTAAAAATGTAGAAGGGAGTCTGGGGTTCCTCCTCTAATAGGGGTTGAGGGAGAATACCAGAATAACCAGGGGATCACATCATTATAGATGAGGAATTCCCTAGCCCCTGGGCCTTAGGGACAACCCTGTGTTATACTGTTATACCCAAGAAAACTTCCAGGTAAATTGAGAAATAAAGTTAAACTCTTATAATAGACTTCAGTATCTTGAAAATTGGACCCCCCCCCCCCCCCAAAAAAAAAAAAAGAAACAACAATAACAAGTAAACACATTGAAAAAAAGACAACAAGAGGCCCATGGGCCACATCGCTCACCTGAGCACATTGGCTAGGAATTAAAGCAAAAAACAGTACAGTATTGAAAAGTTTACAGGGAGGGGGGGGGGGGGGTGTTGAATTTTAAACTACCTGATGATGCTTTCATGTCAATATAACAAATGGCTTTGTTGTTCTTGAGCAGCAGATTTTTTTCCCATATATTCATTTGTAAAAAGTTGATCCCCCATTGTGGCCCCACCCTACCCCCGGGGGCCCTCATTTGAACAAATTTCATTCTACACTACTCAAAGATGCCTCCATATCAATTTTACTAATCATGGCTTTTCTATTCTTGAGAAAAAGACTTTTTCTTATATATTCCTCTGTAAACTTTGATCACCCATTCTGGCCCCAACCTATTCCCGGGGTAATGATTTGAACAAACTTGAATCTACACTACCTGAGGATGCTTCCAAAAAAAATATGACCAATCTTGGCTTTACTGTTCTTAAGAAGAAGATTTTTAAAGATATTTTCCTATATATTTCTATGTAAAACTTTGATCCCCCATTGTGGCCCCACCCTACCCCCGGGGGTCATGATTTGAACAAACTTGAATCTACACTACCTGAGGATGCTTCCATAAAAATATGACCAATCATGGCTTTGCTGTTCTTAAGAAGAAGATTTTTAAAGATATTTTCCTATATATTTCTATGTAAAACTTGGATCCCCCATTGTGGCCCCACCCTACCCCCAGGGGTCATGATTTGAACAAACTTGAATCTACACTACCTGAAAATGCTTCCATAAAAATATGACCAATCATGGCTTTGCTGTTCTTAAGAAGAAGATTTTTAAAGATATTTTCCTATATATTTCTATGTAAAACTTGGATCCCCCATTGTGGCCCCACCCTACCCCCGGGGGTCATGATTTGAACAAACTTGAATCTACACTACCTGAGGATGTTTCCACTTAAGTTTCATCTTTCCTGGCCCAGTGGTTCTTGAGAAGAAGATTTTTGAATGATGCCATTATTTTTTCACTAATTCCTAATTATCTCCCCTTGAAAGAGGGCGTGGCCCTTCATTTGAACAAACTTGAATCCCCTTTACCCAAGGATGCTTTGTGGCAAGTTTGGTTGAATTTGGCCCAGTGGTTCTTGAAAAGAAGATGAAAATGTGAAAAGTTTACGACAACGACGACGACGACAGACAACGGACAAATTTTGATCAGAAAAGCTCACTTGAGCCTTTGGCTCAGGTGAGCTAAAAAGCACAGATATTAACCCCCCCCCCCCCCTGGGCAATGAAAGCAATAAATGGGAGAAATAAATTTCAAGGATATGGTAAAGATTAATACGGAGTATTTGTGAATTAAAAATTTTGCAAATAAGGTCATAATACTATAATTATTACATACAAATCCATAAAATATTTTAAATGGGGTCCGAGTCTTAATTCTAATGTTACATTATGTATTGTGCAGTCATTTTGTTTAAATTATTTGTATTCATATGTTTTCAACGTATTATATTTTATATGACTATATAATTACACAGTATGCATGGTACTTGTAGATGAGTCCAACTGCTGCCTCTTTGTACCTGAATTTGATTGGTGCTGTGTCCAGTCTGGTTGCTATGTGGGCCATGATGGTCACATTTAGAGCCCTTAAAGATCGTCTTCAGGACTATAACATTGGCAAGAAATTTGCAGCCCTTCAGTTGACCATTGTGGTGGTCAACATTCAAGGCTTTGTCTTCCAGATTCTGGCCAAGTACAACATTCCAGAGTGTGTCAGAATACTGAACTCTACAGTCAGAGCATACAGTAAGTCTTTTAAAAAATCATAGAATGATTGATTACATAGGGCAATGATTCCCTCTTTTTGGCATTTATTTTGGGTTATTTTAAACTCCACTGAAATTATATTCACCGAACATTATGAAACTATTCTTCATTGTTTCAGATTTTGTAAGGAAATTAAATTCTGAAGATACTGAATCATATTTATGTTTGTCTTTTACAGGGTCTAACTACTTCCTTTTAATTGTGGAAATGCTACTTCTGATGATTTTTGCCCGATTTGCATTCAAGCGAAAGGAAGAGAGCTACAGGGCACAGAATGGGGAGGTAAATAAGACAGACAAACAGCTGGAGCCCCAAACCCAGCTCTAAACACAATACAATTGTCTTCCCAATACCAACTATATCGTCTTTGAAATTTTTTTTGTTATGAATCATTGTTGATTTTTTTTGATACCAATATTGATCATGTTGGTTTTAATAGAAATTAAAATTGTCTTTCTTTGAATCTGAGATTCATGTATGCATGGGATATTGTGATCTCTTCCAAAAAAATGTTCTTTTGAATTCCAGATAGACAAATTAAACAACATTGATATTGTATGACATAAGTGACACAATAAACTGACCAAACAGTATACTCACATTCATGTTAGTGACACCATCTATCAAAAAGTGTTGTACTATTTTATATTTTATTAATTAATATACTTATTTTACCCACTTTTACATACATGTATTTTACTTGCAGTAGGCATGTTTTACAGCAAGGTGCTTTTGGTGTTGTTTAGCAATGTATTATCCCTATTGATAACAAATTTATGTAGTATATTTTATTTTAACATGACATATAAAGAATTTATCATGTAGTTCACATTTTATTTTGGAAAATTAAATCATTATATTTTATAATCTGCCAGACATGTATTGATTTTATAACTTTCATTTTCTGCCCATAACACTGCTGTCTTTTTCTTATCACAGATGACAGACAAACTGCAGACTGCTTAGTGTAAGCTATTAACACAAGTAGTGCTAGCTTCTATAACTTTACATATAACTTTACATATATATCATATGTGTGACCTAGAGATCATTAGAGGTTGTGTAAATGGGAATTATAAAGTTTATTGATACCATATTCAATAATGTGTGAATTTTTAGTTGGTGTTTTCACCTGAAGATGCATGCAGCATATCTTAACTGCAAAAAGTTTATAAGCATGTTTGGTAAGGAAAAACAAAGTACACTCAATTTATATAAGAAAATGACAAAATGTTGTACCATAATAAGTTTGGGAATACAATTACTAACCTTTGCAATGGTTTGATATAATAAAATTACCTACAGAAACAAATTCAAAAAGAGAGAATGTTATTAAATTTTAACTGGATGTCTTTTGGAGAAATTATTTTGTAGGGCCCATAGACACTGAAAATCTGGAAAAATTGACATTAAAGAGTTACTTAAAATTTTGAGTTAATCCATTGGTTTCCCATCTTTATACTCAAGTTTTTCTAGGTGCCAAATGTTTATTTCGATGTATTGACCCAAAAATATAAGAGGGCATTAGTTTTTGGCAGAATAGGACGCATTTTTCAGTGATATTTTTATCAATTTGTTTTATTCAGGGTAGGCCTGCTGATTTTTCGAAAGATTAGCCAAGATTTAGATGAGAGCAGGTTTGTCCTAGGTGCAAAAATGAAAGTGACTTGAATAACTGTTCCTATTACACCATATCTGTAAACACAATTATGAGAGTGGCATCACCCTGGTTCAAATCCCTTGCCAAACATCTTTTTTTTTCATATTTTTAGGTCATCTGAGTCATTCAGGTGACCTATTTCTAGCTGTTTTTGTCCGTTGTCATGTGTTGTGCATTAACATTCGAACATTTCCAGCTTTTTCTCTGGAACCATCGAACCAATTTTGGCATATAACAACTATGGGTGAAGGGGAACAAAATTTATGAATTTCATGGTCCCTTATTCCCCCCATCCCTGGGCCTTAGGGGTGGGGCTAAAACCATAAAAATTATTGCAAACTTCAAAAATTTTCTTTACTTCTGGATATCAAGCACTCAAACTGTTGGCATGATTGTAATAAGCATTGAGCCCTCTACTAAAATTATAAAATTCAAATTCATGGCCCCAGGGTCAGGGATTCTGGTGTTAGGGTGGGTTTCTATAGTTCATATAGAGAAAGTGCATAAAAATCTTCTCCTCTACCCCAGTAAATGTATATTAAGCTGACAAACTACGTGCATAGATATGATGAGCAAGAGTGCCTTCTCCAAAATTATGAAATCTGTGGTCACTGGATCAGGAATTCTGATGTTAGGATGGACTTTATTGGTCATATAATGAAAAATGCATTAATTCTTTAAATATCTTCTTCTTTGCTTCTCGGTTTTTGGCAGACAAACAGAGTTCATTGTGATGATAAGCAAGGGTGCCTTTTCCAGAATTGTGAAATTCATGGCCCCTGCGTCTATGGTTTTGGCATTTAGGGCAGGACTTCTTTGATCATATAGTCAAAATGCATTAATTCTTTGAACATCTCCTTCTCTGCTCATGTGTATTAAGCAAACATACTAAGTGCATAGTTATGATGGGCAAGGGTGCCCATCATAACTTTCAAAATTGTGAAATTCATGGACCCTGGGTCGGGGTTCTGGAGTTAAGACAGAATGCTTAATAATCATACAGTGAAAATGCATTTAATTCTTTGAAAATCTTCTCTGCACTTGAGTATTTAGCAAACTTAGTGCATGGTTTTGATGAGAAAGAGTGCTTCCAGAATTGTGAAATTCATGGTCCCTGAGACAAGGGTTCTGGTGTTAGGGTGGTCCTCTATTATGATAATATATTGGAATAAGAGAAGTTATTCCCCCATTGTTATTCACTACATGTAATGGTAATTTTAATAAAAAAAATTTTACAAGAATTTGTTATGTATAATCCATATATTAAAAGTACTTTCAAAGTTTTTAGTAGTCAGGTGACTTGTAAAATAATAAATGAATAAAAAATTAATTAAATATTCAAAGACCAAGATATGGTAAAGGGATTGTGCTGGTTGTTCTCTCTGAATATTGTGTTTTGTGCTAAAAACACTATTGTGATAAAGTGTAGATTGCACTGGCCTTTTTCTCTTGCTTTTGAGTTTTGGGTTGTTTCGTGTTATTATATAATTATTTACCATTCCATGGATCCTTTACAGTACATGTATTATACTCAGATTTTGGTTAAGGCCCCTGGGCCTTTAATGTTAATTTCAAAATTTTCATAGGTGTGACAGAATCATGTGCTTCTTATAAATTTCTTTAATTAACAGCATGCACTGAAGTTATGCTTGTTACCAAGGTTGATATATCACTCCATGTGTATTTCATTGTTTGAAATGTACACCATGTCACAATCTTTCATTATTTATAAAAGAAATCAACCTCATTTTCTGTACTCCCAAGGTATTTAAGTGATTATGGGAACTTGTTTATGCTTGTGATTAAAATCATTTTATTTGTAAACAGCATTATGTTGCATTTCATATGTACATGTAAATGAAAATTCAGTTGAACATCAGTATCTTGAACACTGACATCTTGAATACAATGGATATGTTGAAGTGATTTGTAAGTCCCAAACACTTATTCTGTAAGTATTTTCCCTTGGATATCTTGAATCCTCAGATATCTCAATTTTTTCCTCAGCCCTATTGAGTTTGAGATGATGAGTTTTGAATGTATATTCAATTGAATTACATGCATTATTAAATTGAATTTTTGTAATTGTGTTAATATTTTAAAATCAGTTAATTGTATCATAGTATTATTTTTTGATAATCATTAATATGTCTTTTTAATTTTACATGAGATGTATTTTGTATATATTTGTTATTCGTTTCTTTGTACCAAGAAGGATATGAGGCATTATATTTTTAGTTAAATTAGTGTAGCATTTACTTCTCCCACTCCGGCATTTCCGACTTCAAGAAATAGTCTCATGGTGCTACTTAAAAGCTTATACTCTGTGCTGTGATGCAATATTATCAATTTAGAGGATAAATGTTTTTGCATTTTCTGAGCTAGCCTTTTCCCGTGTTTAACTAAATATTTTGTATAACTTTAGCTTGCACTAAAGAACAGTCATGATATTGTGTTCAAATTGAGAAGTTAGATTTTGACTGTGTTACATATATATATTTACATAACAATAGTCAATGAAACCTCTTTTGAAATACCCTGGTAATCCATGACATCTTGGCTAGCACCTTGTATATAATTAAAAAATATGCAAAACAATAAATTGTTGAAGAAAAGAAATGTTTTACTGGTTTGTAATTTGCCCTAATCTTGACAATTGCTATTGAGTTAATATTTTGTACCATATGGACAGCTACTACTTCCTTGAATGAGACCAATGCTTAGCAATGAAGGCCATACAGAAGTACAACTGGCAAATGATGTCCATGTATATCCATAATGAAATATTTCCAATTCTCCTTACATTGTTTACACTTGGTCGTCTTGCAAATTATGGAACAGAAGGAGATAGCAGAACTCCATGTTTAAGGCAACATCTTCATGTATTTACAATTTGATAATTAACTAATGAAACATATATTACAACAAATCAGCAAGATTTTGATTGCCCACAAACACTGACTCCCACAAATTAAAATGATTCCACAGTATTCTACCTTTAAATGAATAACAGAAACAGAAAAAGAGTTAATTTATTTATTTCACAAATAAATTCAGATAGATTTACATTCTTTATTACAGTTTATCTAATGTATAATGCAGATGAAGTACGCCTTACCCTCACATTGTTATCAACTCTCTCAGTGAAATAGATGTCACACAAATACACACAACCAAATTCTTACTCAAAATACTCTCTTTGCCCCAAATGATTCCACAGATATTGCCAACATCAAACCACAGGCTTAAACAGTGAACATGACAGCAAATTAATGTGTAAAAAATGAATCAAAATGATGATGAATATGAAACCAATCATTCTGTACAGAAAAGACAACAATACAAAAATGTAAATACGCCTTATTTTGTAAATTTGTATGATTTTTAAGTATGCATAAAGTTGCATAAAGAAAGCTCTATATTTACATTGTATATGTATGTACTAATGAGTACAATACTCCTCAAAACATTTTACAGATTTATATGTACTTAATGAAACACTCGGTAATACTGAACAACTTAAGCAGTGGTTATGAACCTCTTCATATTTTACTTCTATCAGGGACTTTGACAAATTTCTGTAATTCAGTGTATGGCACTTCACAATTAAAAAAAAAAAAGAGACTTGCTCAATGCAAATAGGCAACTTCAAATGTGTTCCACATATCTATTGTGTGTTCTTGTATTAAAAAAACAAGTATCTGACATATAAATGACTATAAAATCAATGTTAAATGATGTACATTGCACAAATAATGAAGTTGATACGAGTGATGATGTTATCTGCGGTCTCTGTGTCGATGATGGTCCCTCTCTCGGCTGCGATCACGATCCCCGCTGCTGTGTCGACGACGCCTACTTCCCTCTGTGGTCCTTCTGAGGAAATCGTCCACATCCCTCTCATACTACAATAAACAACAAATTAATAATAGTCTTTTAAAAGCAATTCTATCTTCAGACAAAGTACATCCAAATGGATGAGCAATAAATGGTCATTACAGCCTTGAAATATTAGCAATAAATACACATGGAATTAGTTAACTTACAGATCTTTTGTCTGCTCTGGATCTGGAGATTGAGGCCATGTTGTATTCCTGGGATGCCATCATGTATTCTCTTGGTCTCTGGTCATAGTGACCACTGTAAGGGTTCATGGGGTCCATGGCAAATCCTGGTGGCTGTAATTAGAACAAGTTTAATATCCATTACTAAATAAAACTGTTAAAAATCTTTTTCGTCTATTATGCAGAGTAAGGTAGTTACTTAATACAAACTGTACGCTTAATACACTGTACTAATAAATAAACTTATCTACAGATATATATACATATCACTTACCGGTGGTCCATATGGTGGCATGGGGGGTGGGGGTGCTCGACTGTGAGTGAATTCCCTGATGTAATCACTGTATGACTAAAATTCATGAATAAAAAATTTTAAGTAAAAGACAGTTAGACAATGATAAACTTTTACTCAATAAAAATGTAAGATACTTACCCCATTGATAAATGTTTCTCTCCTCACTCCATATCTTGGTGATCTGAAGAAAAATTTAAAACAAGTTTAAAACAAGTTAAAATTTCAAAAATGTACAAGTAGATTAAGAGGGCTGGGTGGTTGTGGCCATTTTCAGACTATATTGATCTCCTATAGAAGAAGAGCTCCATATAAAGATATACAAAAATGATCAAATTTTAAAACTAAAATGTATGAAATTTTTGTTTGCCAAATGATAGTTGACTGCTTAAGATATCATATCTAAAAAAATTAAGTTATATCTGATGGTTAATTTATTGACCCCCCAGCCTCCTTAAGATCCTATAGGACTCTACAATGCATGTCATTTTAATGGAATTGACTCTTGACATTGAAAATTTCTTTAAATGCCAAAAAAAAAACAAAAAACCCAAAAACCAAACCAAAACAAAACTTACCTGTCCATTCTTCTCTCTTTGTAGAAACCTAAAATTATCAATTGTTAAACTACATTACAAAACAAAAGAATGGAAACCTGTTTCCTTTTACATCTGTTTTATTTTTCATCATGGGTAGGAAATGGTTTTGTTAAATCTGATGGAAACTCTAGAGCTCATATTTAAAGTGTTGTTTGAATAATTTTCTATTTGTGTAAGGCCATCATTAAAAAAGGTTTTGTTTGATGTACTTCAACATTTTTATGGTGGGTAAGTAGGTATTGTTATATTTTTTTGTGTTTGGAATTTTTGACACACTGATAATTGTCATTAAAATCAAAGACTTAAAATTTATTGATGTTTTCATTACTGTAATAATGTACATGTATATGAGTCAAAACTTTTTAATCTAAAAAGCATCTTTGAGAAATATGAACCTTAATCTTAAAAATGATGTGGATACATGTAATTTGTTTTTCTTTGGAAAGAAAAAATAAAAGTACTGAAAAAAAATGATGGGGGTAGAGGTGAATTTCAAGGTTGGTCGGAATACATCAAACAAATCATTTTTTTTTATTGTTGGCCTTAAACTATATTTACAAAATAAGTTTACCTCTTCCATGTTGCATCTCATCACGACTTCTCTTTCTTCTATCTTGTTCATAGAAGTCCTCCCTGCTGTATGGTCTATGCCTATATTCAACATTACAACAACCATATTTGTTTCAGTGCTTGATCACAATAAGACAAGGTACATTTTGCTGTACAAGAATTTACAATGGTTGCTTACATCAAGTCCAACGTCTTTCATCCCACACGACTGCCAATCAGAATTTGTATCTGAACATGGTCATTCATAATGCACAGAAACCCTTAAATTCTATACAGTTTTTAACTTTACCTTTCTTGTAAACTTGAATATAAGTGAATTCCTTGTCAGATTATATTAAGAATGTTTTGCAAAAATTCTGTGTTTCAGAAAGAGATTAAAAACATGAATGAATACAGATTTACATTTTATGATATCTATGCAACTTTAGAAAAATATATATTAAAGCTAAAGTCTAGACTGTTGTTTTTCCATCAGTAAATTGAAATAAATGCTAAGTATGACATTTTAATGCAACTTTTTTTTAAATAAAGATTTACCATTCATATCTGTTCCCTGCAGTGTGCTATGTAACAAACTGTGTTTATTTGGGAAACTTTTGTACATTTGAAAATCAATGTAATTAATATAAACATAGCATCTACTGTTAGCTTCTATAATTTTTGCTCTGCTGAAATGTTTGTTAAAAGCAAGGACACACATTTACTTAATACTAAAATTATGTATTTAAAAAATTAATCTGCTACAAAAGTACATCTTCTATATATGTACAAATCCATTATGTTTTTCATATATTTGTCACATAACTCTTCAATTAAGAAAAATTATCCACGCTACAATATTTACTAAACTCAGATTAGTATTTTTGGAATAAAACTCAAACTGATATTTTTTTTATGTTGGATTCGGTTTCTTTAGTTGGGTGGACTTGATGTAAGTAAATGGATTAGATAACATACCGTACATTGCTCGGCCAGCATCTTCACATACTTATCACTGCAGTCATTAACACATCGTTTACAACATTGTCCATATAGGAATAGTTCATTCACACAATATTAAGCAACAACTGGCTGCATTATATTTTTAGTCCAAAGAAAAAGTTCATATCACACATAAATTTTAGAACACATGGCTGCAATAAATATTTAGTCCAAAGAAGAATGTTCATTCACATTTTTTTTTCTTATTTAAACACAATGGCCGATTTCTCTGGTCCATACAGAACTAAAGTGGTGAGTCCATTGAGATACATGTAGCTAGTATTGTGGTGGATTAGTCCAGATATAGAGAGGGGTCACAAAATGGGGAGTTAGTCCTTTAGAACTTTTTAAAGTGGCAGTCACATTTAGCATGCTAAGAGCCACTAAGAGTTGGCTATTGAGGCACATAGCCATGCTACAAAATAGTCCACATTTTGTTCCAGATTTTTAAACTGGGCCTCTAAACCTGAAAAATCTTCAAACAAAATAAATCAACTGTCATTTGTCCTCTGCATACTTACCGAACGCAAGTTTTTAATTTTTTTTTTTTAAATCTTAGGTACCTATTAAAATGTCCTACTAGTTTTACTACACAATTTTCCAAACGTCTCTAACCTAATGAATTCAGGACGCCCCCGATAACCCCCGCGATTTCTTCTCTCCGTTATTGCTTGGGGTCCTCCTCCACTGCGGGATGATTTACGAGCTTTTCTTGCAATGGATGAAAGATCCACATTTTCATCGGGCGGAAACATTTTACACAGAGCCTCTCCACATCTTGGTTCCACTTCCTACAATTCAAGGCAAGTATGCAATATTTAAAATAATCTAAATTTCCTTTTTAGTTATCATACTTAATACCAAACTTTTTTCTCAAAGTCACTGGTACTCGATTAGTCCTAGTTATTTTCAATAGTTAGTTTCCATATACAATCAAATACGTAATAACATTGATTTTCCTGTCTTTTGACTTGTAAAGGAAACTTGATTAGTTCTGAGTAATAAACATGAAACTTGCTCCATTTTGAACTTCGAATTGCCCAGCTTAAGGATTTTTTAAAAGACTTCTTGTTTTGACGAGTCATTAACCAAGTAACAGCAATGACCAATCGTCTGTAAAATATGGCAAATTATACAGACCATCTTATACAGAAGTGTGTCATAAAATATCAAATTTACCTGCCCATCTCTTCCAATTTTTACTGGCTTGTTGTCATTCCATGCATTATGGAGATGTTGTGTCTTTGTAAAGGCAAGCTCCTTCCTGATAACCAGGAGTAAAAATTGTTACATTGTTTTCTTTTAAATCTAGATAAACATGTATTCTGTAAATCAGTGCCCTTTATTCAATTGGAGATAATTTTCAATTTTTTGTTATGGTTTACCTGTTGATCCAGTCAAGTTTAAAAACGCCACTTAAAGCTCTTGCACTCAAACCAGGAGGCAGCACCCATCGAATTGGAGGATGGTCTTTGGTGGACTCGTCAGCTATTCTGGCAAAACCTAGCAGGGTACACCAACATGTAATTGTCACATTTCAAACAGTGTTGCAAATACATGTACTTAAGTTTAATTAATAGTTCACTTTATATGACATGTTACCTTGAAACTTTCCACTTTCTCTGACAGAAAATATCAGTATCACATTATCACAGCTCTGAAAAAAAAAATGTTTTCACTTATACACAAACATGGAATGGTATCAACTAACCATAACTCATATTACAAGATACATGTATGTGTATACAATAGTAACTAATTACATGACATATATACAATGGTAACTGACCTTGTAGGCATTGTTTAATCGGATTTCATTCTGAGGAGGTGTGGACCAAACACCTTTGGCTTTGGCCAGAGCCACATTTTCATGGTTGTTACTTTTAATCACGAAGTATCTTGCTCCACGATAGATGTACTTCATCCTTGAACTTATTTCTGTTATGAAGGAAATTTTTTTTTTTCAAATTACAAAATGCTAGAATAATTATTGATCTGAAATTCAATATAATTTGACACTGACAAAATCTTGTTCACTCACTCCTGGCAGTAGAGTCTTCGGATTTTTCACTTTTGTTATCATCACTTTTACCGTCTTCTTCTTCTCCTTCCTCTCCTTCACTTTTCCCTTCACTCTTTCTATCCCATTCTATAGGAGATATGTCTCTGGTCTTGCGTTTCTTTTTTTCTGGCACCGAATCCTCTCCCTCTAAGTCTAAATCTGTAATAAACAACATTTGACCCCTAACTATCCTGATCATTTTTCATCACTTATGTCGTACTAAACCATGATCTAACCAATAATAATAATCACATCTTGCTTTCTTGGGAGTGATTTCTTGACAGTGAAATTGTATTCAAAAATGAAATATAAACCTGATTCTCCAGACTCCTCATTGTTCAGACTTCCATCACTGGAGCCTGCTTCACTGCGAGTGTCATAATCCTGAGCATCCATTGGTTCTGGAATGGGGCGGGTCTCTGTTTCTCCCTCCTCCTGAGTCTTCTCACCTTCAGTTGACTCATTCTCTGCAACACAGATATCATATTAAAATTTAATTATGTTAATTAATGAACATGCAGGTGCACAATTTAATATGTGGACCATTACGGATAAATCTTTAAAAAATAAAAAAAAAACAACCCATAATTTACCTTCATCTTGCGAGATATTTTCTGTAGATATTTTCTTTTTGGGGGATTTGTTGACTTTTGGAGACTTCACTGCAAAATCATTGTAAAATTATATTTTCATTTATTTGTAGCAATAAATTGGTAACAAAAATCATTTTAATAACCTGTGCTGAAGCGAATTTATGTATAACAATTGGTAAAATTATAATTGTCTGTCACATGATCAGAACAAACATGTTCTTAAATAGTTGAAAGAATGCTCTACTAAATTGACTTTACTTGTGTACGATAGGGTTTGCAAGTAATGGTTTGTTTAAAATGCATTCAAACTTTGGGCAGCCTTAATAGAGCTGCATACATGATATGCTAATCTTTGAAGTAAATGAAGGAAAAAGTTACGTGACTCACATTTGGTCTTGCCTGACTCCTTGGCTTTTGTCTTGGTGATAATTTTCTTTTTGGGTGATTCCTGTTTTGGTGGATCCTTCACCACCTTCTCAGGACTTTCATCATCATTCTGACTTTCCTCCTCTTGTTCCTCTTTCTCAGTGGTCCCTTTTTCCTCCTCTTCTTTTGCAGCCTTTGCCTTTTTCTCGGCAGCGCGCTGGGCTGACAGGCGTTTAGCAGTGGCAGATTGAGCTTTCTTACTTTTTCTGGTAGCTGGTGTTCCAGTGCGCTTTTTCACTGCAAAATTCAGCACACTGCTCTTTGAACAGTATTACATTGATATACATGTAATTTAGATTAACACTGATAATGATTCTTTCTTAATATTTAAGATGATATTTGGTTTGCAGAATTGCTGCAGAATACCTGTGCTTATTTTCAATTTTCAGCAATATTCAGTGTAAGCAAAAATATGAAAACTGTTGTAAATAATGATGTAACAATTATAGGTAATGTATACTTTTTCTCCCTAGAATGAGATACCTTCTACAGGTAATGTATACTTTATCTCCCTAGAATGAGATACCTTCTACAGGTAATGTATACTTTATCTCCCTAGAATGAGATACCTTCTACAGGTAATGTATACTTTATCTCCCTAGAATGAGATACCTTCTACAGGTAATGTATACTTTATCTCCCTAGAATGAGATACCTTTTACAGGTTTTTCAGGCTCTGGTTTTTCTTCTTCTACAATTTCAGCACTCAGATCATCGTCTCCAGTATGTCCTTCCAGAATATCATCAAGTACATTAACTACTCCATCACCGCCTTCAAAAATAAAATGATGTTACATCATTTTGTTGAAATAATTGCCTCCATAATAGGAGTACAATGAAATTTGAATTTTTTGTTTAAAATAATCTGTTCATTTTCAAAATTCATATATTACCAAAGTGGATCAAATGGCAAAGGTTTCCAGTTTTGATAAGCTATGCAGCTATTTTGATGTATTTTTTCTTCCATGTGCATTTTATAGAAATCAGAATGTACAAAAAGTATTAGTTTGGTGATGTAAAATTTAGAAAGGAAATGTTGTAGTAAGAATGCAGATAATCTGTTTTGGTTTCGCAGTGGGTCAAAGTGATTTAGTTGACTTCTCAAAAACTTTATTACATTCCCGTTTGCTATTCTAATTAATTGCTTGAAGCTTGGTCAATCTTATTGACTTTATTGATAAAATTTCAAATCCCTGTGATATAATGGAGGTCAGGCAGTCATTCAATGAATTGTGAAGCAATCCTCTTGTAGCATTTTATCCATTCCCTTTTTGCACACAAAGTGGTTGTGCAGTTACCCAAAAAGAAGAAAGTAACATTTTTCTTGCTAGAAAGTGTTTTAAAGAATGTCTAAAATATCTGTGACCTGGATTTCTTTTTTAAAAAAAAAAAATATATATATATATATCAATGCAAAATACAAATTTACATACTCAAAGCAACTGCAACTTTTTGTCTAAAGTATACAGGAAGCAGATCGTTGAGGGAAATATTTCTAAAAAGGTTAATCGAGCTATTTCAATTATAGCTTCTTGGATTTATATTGCTTATTCAAATTACATGTCTTTACCAAAAGACTGTGCCATATTTACAGAAGCTTCTATTCACCTCATTACAAATTGCACCCTCTACGTGGTACTATATCTGTATCATCTTGTCACAGAAGGCAAAAGAAATACAAAAAGAAAATTAAAGAACACAATAAAAACTACTTCTGAAGATGCTACATTATTTAGCGATGTGGTCCTCAGGAGCCATTACATTGAGTGAGATAAACAAAGTATTTGTGCAAAAAAAATCCAATTTCAGCTTGTAACAATTTGCATAAATATGATATTATTTCATCAATGTTACCTGAAGTATCAATTTGATCAGCACTCATTGTGCTATCAGGATTATATTACACCAGAAATACGTTTTTTTAAACACAGATCAACGACAATCAACAAAATCAAATATGGCGTCGGGAATGAAACAAGTTAACTTGTTCCGAGGTTATTCGTGTCCTAATGAACATTTCCTCTATATACAATTTATACAAAAGAATAAAAAAGTAAACTACAAGATACAATTAGTTATAGAATATATTTCCATCATAATCATGTTAGTTTAGAATTATAGTTATTGTAACAAGATGCCCATGGGCCACAATACTCACCTGAGTCAGATTAGTCATGCTGTTTCTTGTCACCCGATCCCCAATTTTCTTAACATGAAAATTGTTGTGCCAATATTGTTAAGTCATGACTTTATTCAATTCAAAATGGAAATGCTTCAATATCAATATGACTAACAGGCCTTTTCTTCTGAGGACCCCCCCCCCCTTCCCTTGTAAGTAGCCATGCATTTAATAAAATTTGTCAAAACACCATGAGCCATAATTTCAATAAAAAAATCTTAAATCCATACAATGTGGAAATGTTTGTAAATTACTATGATTTAGTGGGATATGCTACTCTTGAAATTTTTTTTAATATTAATTAAAGTCCTTTTCACAAGGGGTTAACAACAAAATCTATTAATTTATTAATACATTACTGCCATAAAGTTATAATGAAGTTTAAAGTCTTAAAACTACATCAAACTTCAAGGTCATGAGGTCATATATCATAATACAATTTGAAAGGTCTTGTCACAAGTACATGTAATGTACATGAAGAAAAAATGAAAGCCCTGCTGTCTCTACTGGAACAAAAATACGGCAAAAAGTTAAAAATTTTTATATGTTGTTCAAAACTTCTGGGTCAAGGTCATAAGTCAAAATAGCTGCAGAACTGTAGCATTATGGTTTTATATTTTAGTCTTTGACCATAACACTACAGATCCCATAATGTAAATAAAGTGCAATTTATGGCGCAAGATTTTATGCACACTTTGGGGATGTATTTCGACACTTTTCAGCATTGGTCAATCAACGACCTTTCATCCCCTAATTCTAGACATATTCTATAACCAAACTGTATATTTTATCCACCTCCTAACCCTTTATAGTTGTCTTTACAGACCAATAAACTTGTTATGCCATCTGACAACAAATTCACAAGCGAGTTTATTTGTCAAAATACTTGCATATGTAAATATTCCCTTATACAACTTTTTTTTTTATGTTCCCTTATTGTTGTCCCATATCATCCCCAGTTTGAAAATACTTGAATATGCTATCTGAAGATGCTCACATATATCATGTCTAATCATGGCCTTCCTGTTCACCGAAATAATTTTAAAAGCTTATTTCCTATATACCCCCATATAAAACTTTGGTCCCTTATTATAGCCCCTCCCTATCCCTGGGGGTCATGATTTGGAAACTTAAATTAATCTATGCTATGTCAGGAAGCTTTCACATCATTTCATATTTTCTCCAATTTTTTTCTTTTTATTTCATCCAGTTATTCTTGAGATTTCCAAATGACCCCACCCTAATTTGCCTTTTCTTAATTATCTTCCCCTAAAATGTGGAAAATTGGCCCTTCATCTGAATCTCCTTCACCCATGGATGCTCAGTGTCAAGTTTGGTTAAAACTGACCTAGTAGTTCTAGAGAAGAAAATGTAATTGTGAAAAGTTTACAATTACAACTGCCACAACAAAAATAATGATAAAAGATACTGGTATTAATGGACAATTTTGATCTCATGTGAGCCTTTGGCTCTTCGGTTTTCCTGTCTTTGGCTCAGGTGAGCTAATAATATATATTTAGTTATTTCTAGTCACAATATAATCTAAGCAAATGCAAATAGTTTACAAATCTCCACATTAACCAGTTTTTGAAGCAATAATAACCAGACAATGAAATTTAATTATTAATTAAATCAAAATTGATTAACCACCTAAAATATGGATTATGGTCCTGATCATGACACAGTTGTAATGGGGATGAAGTGAGCTAAAGACTTTGACTTTCTGCATTCCACCAACTACATAAACACCAACACAAGTATCAGAAATGTTCACAATTTTTATTAATGAAACTTTATTTCACATAACAGATATACAGTGAATGCTAAATACACAAAATAGATATTTTAAAAACATCAAAGTAATGCAATTACAGTGTAAACCAAAAGTTTTAATTAAACCAAATTTTAAATTCTCAACACAAATAAATGCTTTTATTGAAATTCCATTGAATAAAACTGATATTTTCACAGACATTTGTTATTTTCACACAGTGAAATTAATCTGAAAAACAATCAATAAAAAACAAATTTATATTCATCTGACCGCAAAAAATAAATGCCCAAAAATAATTCACTTTTGCAGTACAAAACAGATTTTTTACAAATAAAATTAGCATACAAATTCATAATGATTGAGATCATTAAATATATATATATATATATATATATATATATATATATATATATATATATATATATATATATATATATATATATATATATATATATATATATATATATATATTTTATCAGAGAACTGTTATATAATCAGAAAAAAAATCATTCATTTAAACATAACAATAAACAACACATAAAATCAAAACACAGCTAATTCAGACTTTCAAAAATCTTTTTGTCGGAGGAACATCAAAGTGATATAAAGGATTTGAATATACATGTAATTAAAATTCATATAAAAAAATACAAATATCGAATTTTTAAAAAAATCCTTTCAAATTATTATTTCCAACATTGATATATTTTAATTGAATTATTCGAGAGCTTCTGCCCCCCCCCCCCCCTTCTTCATCTTCAAAAATAAATATATATAAAATAAAAGATATGAAAAAATACTAAGGTAGTACTTTTGCTGTTTATAACCTTTTAAACTGGCATATATAGGTTTTTAACAATGAGAGAGAGAGAGAGAGAGAGAGAGAGAGAGAACAGTGCAGTGATAAGAAATGAACAAGTCCTGAGTTTTCAGGAAGGTCTTTACTCATACCAGAAAATCTGTAGAAACAAAACTACAATAGTGTCAGGCTTTGAATTAGTACAACATTTTACAAATGAAAAAGTCCAAAATTCAAAAAAGTATTTGTTAATTTTTTTTTAAACCTTATATTGAATATGATTGAAATGAGTTAGACCTTGGCAAGATAATTTTGCATGAGCATTGTTTTCTTTTTAATTCAAAATTCTTAAGCAGACAGGAGTTTAAGACTCCTCAACTGTGAAGTTCAGTCTAGTAATACTGGAATAAGTGCTTGCTTAAAATTGGGCAAGTACACGATGAGAAATCGATGACATTTTCCTCTCTTCTGAAAAATTTTCTCATAGTTCTTAGTTTATTATCAAATTAATCTTGAAAGCAATTAATAAACACCGTAGTAATTTTTATCTAGGTACATGTACTTGTATGTGATATCTTGGACCACAGAAAATTGACTGCAAATTAAAAAAACAACTTTAAATGTATTACATTTTGCTGTGTATCTATTTAGTGCCTTTTGCAGAAGACAGCCAATACTAAATCAAGTACTTCACTAAATATTGTGTACATACTCATGAAGCATATGGGCTAAATCAAACTGCTAACTTGTTGAGAAACAATTTCCGCCAAAATAATAATACTGATGTATAGCATAGGAAATTTACAGCAATTTATGATACAAACCAATGTTGAACTAGATACGACTTCTTATCACACTTTTCTTTATGAATACTCACTCCTTGACCATGCAGATCTTGGAAAAACAGTTCTGATTAGAAATATTTCTACACATATATACTTACCTTTCCTTAAGAATTCCGTTATTATAGTTATCTGGAGTACTATTTGTCTATCATCAAATGTAAGAAAAGATCTGGACATATGCATAAAACTAATATGTTTCTCTTGCAATATCTATATTGTTCAACTTGAAAAGCTGGCATTTCTTGCTTCTGAAATTTTGTTTAGACTAGGTTTTGACACAATTTAAAAACAAGACATCAATGGTGTTTAAACTGTAACTGAAATACTGATTTTTAAAAAAAAATGTTTTTAAGAACCCTCTCTACACTGCACACTAAAGTGTTCTGATTCTATGGTATTTTTCTGCAGTTGGAGTGATCTGCCCTTAGATCTAAATTCCAATAAATAGAAATTTACAGTATATTACTCAATTTGTTATCACCGTTCACGGTAGCTCAGTCGGTAGAGCGCTAGCTCCGTGATCGGGAGGTCGTGAGTTCGAATCTCGGCCGCGACAGACCTAAGTCGATTAAAAATAGGTAGCAACTGTTCCTTCGCCATGCGCTCGGCACTTTGAAGTGAAAGTTGCGGGTCCTTCGGATGAGACCTTAAAAACCGAGGCCCCGTGTCACGGCAGGCGTTGGCACGATAAAAGATCCCTCACTGCTCAATGGCCCTGAGTGCCGAGTAAAGGTCAAAATTTGAAGCCCTTCACCGGTATATGGTGACGTCTCTATATGAGTGAAAAATTCTCGAATAGGACGTAAAACAACATACAATCGATCAATCAATCAATTTGTTATCAATTCAAGTATTCTTAACATTTTAAAAGGCCAAGATAAATTAATTGAACATGTTACTTACTTGTATTTTCTCCACAGAAGTAAACAGCAGTGATTTCTGTTCACTGATACTGTGTTGTGTTTGAACATTTTTCCTGGGGGTAAATGCCACGTACCATATATTGAAAATTAAATATATAAGCTCAATATTTACATCTTTATTCAAAATATTTTTCTCAATGTCCAAAAAACATTTTGCACTGGTGTAGAGAGGGTCCTTAAGCAGTAAGAATCCTAGACTTATTATTTACCTGTTAATCAATTCTGTTACAATTAATGTTACCATTAGAGGTATGATACTTGCATACAATCATCATTGTTAATGACTGCATTTTCATGAGAATTTAATAGAATAAAGTATAACAATTATCATTATAAATTTGTATAGATGAATTGAATAATCACTTGCATCTAAAGTCTTTGTCAGAGCAGTTTTCTTTAACTGTGAAAAATTACATTTTTAATTCCACCTTTCAAGGCTACCTTAACATTGTTAGAAGTGAACA